ACATGTGTGTCTTTTGTACAATCCTCGATTCTATTTTTACATGTGTGTCTTTTGTACAATCCTCGATTCTATTTTTACATGTGTGTCTTTTGTACAATCCCCGATTCTATTTTTACATACGTCTTTTGTAAAATCCTCGATTCTATTTTACGAGTCTAACCTAGCTTTTAAATCAGCGAGATTATCAGAATTGAAAATTGATGATTGAACAAACTTTAGAGCAGTAAAACTTGAAGATAACGTTTTTTTCTCTCAAGGGATGTTACTCTCATATAATTTTGGTATGTCATAAAGCCAGAAAAAGAATACGTTCTCAACAACAGCCCTTACTCCTAACAACAAGAACAGAGACTCTGACATGTTCCAACAACGAAAATCTTTCATCCCCTCCATAGCCAGAATAGAGAGAAAAAAAGATTATGGCACAATTTCAAAGTAACACATAGTTAACGTCTTAATATTTAAGCAATATAAATATTTGTACTGAGGGAACAATTCCGTATATTTGCTACACAGATATAAATTGTGTAAATCAACAACACGACAAATAGTTATAGATAATTTGTATAATTCTGTGATTTTAAGCAGCCGACTTTGAAGAGTTATAAAAAGGAGCGTTTGTCATTATCATTACCAAGTTGTATATTTCCGAGTACCATGTTTGTTCCTGTCATGTTTGTGTTTTGTGTGTGCTTTTGTGTGTGTGTGTTTTTTTTAACAGGAATAACTGTTAACAGATACCTTGTCATACTGGTGTTTATTGGTCTGGTGTATACAAACAGATGTCCGTATATTAATGATTGTGAAATAGATCACATAATTGACTTGTTACATAGTAAATTCGCGTTGCCATTGGCTTCGCCTGTCAGAAATCGATTGTGATGTCATATAGACAAAGACGTTACGTCATGAATTAAAAATGGTGCAACGAAATGGCGACCTCTGTTTCTTCCACATTTTTCTTTAATAAATTTATCAAAATATAGTTTTTCTGACATATGTGATAAAAAAATATCTGAAATCTGTTTCATTTCGTATGAGATTCTACGAAAAGAGTCTTCGGAACTTTATCAGTTGCTAGGTAGTGGCCACAGGACGGTGACTTTTCTTTGGAAACTCCGGCTTTCATCCACCGCCCAAACCTGGCACGTCCTGAAATCACGCTGACTCTTGATAAGAATTAAAACAACAATAAACTACACTCGCCTTTTTTCGTGAAAATTTCTAAGACTCTACGTATCAGTTCTTACATCTCAACAATTAAGGACTTGTTAGGTCTTATCAAAACGTAACACTTTACTGAAAGAAAAAACAAATGATTCCCTGTGAAATAAAACTATTTTGCTGAAAAATATATCATTCCCTGTGATATGAAACTACATTGTATTTACTGAAGAAAAACGTATCATTCCCTGTGATATGAAACTACATTGTATTTACTGAAGAAAAACGTATCATTCCCTGTGATATGAAACTACATTGTATTTACTGAAGAAAAACGTATCATTCCCTGTGATATGAAACTACATTGTATTTACTGAAGAAAAACGTATCATTCCCTGTGATATGAAACTACATTGTATTTACTGAAGAAAAACGTATCATTCCCTGTGATATGAAACTACATTGTATTTACTGAAGAAAAACGTATCATTCCCTGTGATATGAAACTACATTGTATTTACTGAAGAAAAACGTATCATTCCCTGTGATATGAAACTACATTGTATTTACTGAAGAAAAACGTATCATTCCCTGTGATATGAAACTACATTGTATTTACTGAAGAAAAACGTATCATTCCCTGTGATATGAAACTACATTGTATTTACTGAAGAAAAACGTATCATTCCCTGTGATATGAAACTACATTGTATTTACTGAAGAAAAACATATCATTCCCTGTGATATGAAACTACATTGTATTTACTGAAGAAAAACGTATCATTCCCTGTGATATGAAACTACATTGTATTTACTGAAGAAAAACATATCATTCCCTGTGATATGAAACTACATTGTATTTACTGAAGAAAAACATATCATTCCCTGTGATATGAAACTACATTGTATTTACTGAAGAAAAACATATCATTCCCTGTGATATGAAACTACATTGTATTTACTGAAGAAAAACATATCATTCCCTGTGATATGAAACTACATTGTATTTACTGAAGAAAAACATATCATTCCCTGTGATATGAAACTACATTGTATTTACTGAAGAAAAACATATCATTCCCGGTGATATGAAACTACATTGTATTTACTGAAGAAAAACATATCATTCCCTGTGATATGAAACTACATTGTATTTACTGAAGAAAAACATATCATTCCCTGTGATATGAAACTACATTGTATTTACTGAAAAAACACAATTTTCTATGAAATGAAACTTGACACACGATGCAGATAATTACACCACTCAGCCTGGTGTCCATTATGTCAGTCTGATTTCTTTAGAAAGCTGGGGATAATTTTTCTGTTCCTGAATCTACTATCTCAAAATGTATCTCGGACGTCGGTAGGAAATTGTTATCATCAGTATAAATAGCTGGTCACGCAGGTGAGAAATATATCTCAATTCTACTTTAATAGTTCAAAGTTATTCTTTTCTTTGACGTATAAGAAACACCAAAACAGCTCTCCGACGGTCAGAATGTCGAGCTACCGTGTGAACTATACACAAAATGTCCAATCAGACGTTTTAAGCTTTCATATTTGCTAGATTTGAATGCTACTTTCAGGCATCATTAGAATACACTTCAAAGCATACAATACAATACAATACAATACAATACAATACAATACGGGATTATAAGATTCTATTCACTAACTTGGCTCTTTAACAGAAAAAATGTTAATTTAACATACAAAGCACGTAAGACAGTGGTAGTATGATTGTCTACAATGCACACTTAATAGGATTTAGTCCCTTTTTTTTAAATTATAACTTAACAATAGATGTTTTGAATATAACACAACTGAAGGAAGTATAAGAGATCGTGGTATATCTATGGTGCACAAATTTTAAGTGGTATAAATTGAGTTTCAAAAGAGAACATTAATGTAACGACACTTAAACTTATCGTCGATATTGTCATATTGTCGTCATTTACCTGTATATTGGTCCATAATGTCGTTATCTACCTGTATATTGGTCCATATTGTCGTTATTTACCTGTATATTGTTCCATATTGTCGTTATTTACCTGTATATTGGTCCATATTGTCGTTATTTACCTGTATATTGGTCCATATTGTCGTTATTTACCTGTATATTGTTCCATATTGTCGTTATTTACCTGTATATTGGTCCATATTGTCGTTATTTACCTGTATATTGGTCCATATTGTCGTTATTTACCTGTATATTGGTCCATATTGTCGTTATTTACCTGTATATTGGTCCATATTGGTCCACATTGTCGTTATTTACCTGTATATTGGTCCATATTGTCGTCATTTATCTGTATATTGGTCCATATTGTCGTTATTTACCTATATGTTGGTCCATATTGTCGTTATTTACCTGTACGTTGGTCCATATTGTCGTTATTTACCTGTATATTGGTCCATATTGTCGTTATTTACCTGTATATTGGTCCATATTGTCGTTATTTACCTGTATATTGGTCCATATTGTCGTTATTTACCTGTATATTGTTCCATATTGTCGTTATTTACCTGTATATTGGTCCGTATTGTCGTTATTTACCTGTATATTGGTCCGTATTGTCGTTATTTACCTGTATATTGGTCCATATTGTCGTTATTTACCTGTATATTGGTCCGTATTGTCGTTATTTACCTGTATATTGGTCCATATTGTCGTTATTTACCTGTATATTGGTCCATATGGTCCATATTGTCGTTATTTACCTGTATATTGGTCCATATTGTCGTTTTTTACAGGGCTTATTCATCCGTATTTCACTTACGACATGTAGAAGATTGAGGTACTGCACAAATAATTGATCATATTAGTATCTTAATCGCTTTCTTTTAACTTTGGTGTATATTATAATAATAATATCCGAATAACCAATAAATGCGTCACATTCATGGTCTGCATCCATTACTTTACTAATAAAGAGAGAAAAGTACAGCGTTGTGTGTATACACATTACTGTATTGGCAAAGTAAAGGACCCCAACATGTGATATAAAGAGAATACATGGGCAGTGTCTTAAAATCTAAGCTGTATTTTAGCGGGGGTGAAGAAAGACAAAAGTGGCTCGCAGCATATATCTTAAGACACTGACCACATGATGTATTCTCTATGTATATATATACTGCTGGTGAAAAAACAACGAACTTATTATTGGTGCAACAACATACCTTGAGGATGGGAAACATATACACACAGAAAAAAATCAGAAGGTCGTGTCAATCTTCTCTCCCCACAGGTGTCCACATATCTAGTATGTTACCGGACACCGCGAAAACCCCGAAACACAAATTAATTTTTAGACTCATAGTTAAGATGAGTTATAGCACACATAATTATAGAACAAATGAAGTTAAAATGTTTGTGATTAAATTGTCATCAGTTCCTCTTGTCTTCAGAAACTTCAACTTTCATTTGTTTTAATTTCATTATCATTATTTTTTTGTTTAAAGCTATATTTTACAAAATAAAGCTTTGGAATATTAAACAAAACATCTTTATACCACGTCGGACGAGGGCAGAAAGAAATTTCAATAATATCACGGACTATGATCAATATAAGATATATATATAAGTCCATGCTGACACTTACATCCCTGGACATGACGACAAATCATAATGATCGAAATAAACGTAACTTTTCATCAATGGTTGAACCATGTGTTCGATACTAAATATAACATTGTACATAAAATGAAATGATAATGTTAAAGACAATTTGGCTAACTAACATGACGGATAACAGCGGTCAGAGATTCTTGGTGTAGGGGAGACTACTCCTAAAACTCAAGTCAGTAAAGGAACTCTCTTGTCAAAAAACAAAATGGCGCTGTCCATAACGGGCACGCTGAGAGCCATCCGTCAAGGTAAATAAGTTGCTATCTGTTTAGTCATTTTGATTTTTTGGACTCGGATATTTGAGTTACGTTGTGGGACCCTCCACAGACACTTGTATCTAGAATGGTAACAACTCAAGCAAAATGCATCCCACTGTACATCATAAATGTTACAGCTGATGACTGGTGATGTAAATTACATTACAGATACAGGTGCCTGTGAAACCACACAAGTTTCAAGAATCCACTGTCTTTTGGGAATGTGTTGTAATTACCCGCAAAAATAAGTTCCATTGACATGCTGAAGACACAAATTTAGGTTTCTGCTGTTGACGGCATCTTGGACATAAATCCGGTAATCCTTTGTGGGATTCCTCAAACGTCCGATATAAATGAGTCCCAAGGAGGATTCCTAGAAAGGATTACATATCAAGGAGCGCCAGTTAATACAGCTATACGTAAATAGGGCAAATGTAAACATACAGATGAGTTACAGTCACATTTCTTTCGAAAAAATGGGACGACAAATCATGTAAGTCCGTGAAATGAATGTTTTTTGGCATATTTGCTCAGTTTTAGGAATAAAAAAAAATCTTCAATACATCTTTTCAGAATATACGAACATTGGCTATTTAATGACAAACTTGAAAGTGAGTCCATCACATATATATGACATCGTTTAAGCTTTGTGTTATGTGCAGTTAAGCATCCCTTTGATGCAGATTCAGTTTACATGTTTGCTTTCAGCATGATGTTGTGCAAACAGTTTGTTACTTGCACTGAATGTAAATTGTGTGGTGAAAGCAGGTGAGTATTTTGATATTGAACACAAGAAATTTCATCTCTGACTGTCATAACATGTTGATAAAGTGATTGATGTATCAAAAATTGCTATGACCAAATTCAACCAACTCACCAGAAATGGTGTCCTATGACAAAAATCATTTGTTTCACAAATAAGGTGATTTGTTGTCCATTTTTCCAATGTGCACATTATGATTGCGACCAAGTATAACTCGGTTGTTTACATTGGCCCTTTATATATATAGTTAAATTTGACTATATAACAAAATCTGCTGATATAGCCAGATTTGCTGGTGGTCCAGTACCTGTATATATCAGGTCAGGAAAAAACACAAATTTGTGAATATTACACTAACTAACCTATTTTACACCAATTAGGGATTTTTTACTAAAAAAAATGCTGAAAGCACTTTTAACATAGTCTTTTCAAATGTTTTCCCAAGTCACATTTATCAAGATATAATCATTAATAATGAGACAACTTAAGTCATTACAATGAGACAACTTAAGTCATAACAATGAGATAACTTAAGTCATAACAATGAGACAACTTAAGTCATAACAATGAGATAACTTAAGTCATAACAATGAGATTACTTAAGTCATAACAATGAGATAACCTAAGTCATAACAATGAGATAATTAAGTTGTAATAATGAGACAACATTATAACGAGATAATGTAACTCGTGCTAATGAGAAAAAGGCAGCAATTATATAACTTATAATGACAAGATCATTTAACATGTAATAACAAGATTATATAACATGTAATAACGAGATTATATAACATGTAATAACGAGATTATATAACATGTAATAACGAGATAAGTGATAATTATGAGATAAATTGTAATAAGGACATGACTCATAAGAACAAAATAATGTGATAACATTGTGTAGCTAAAAAAAATTCCATGTGGAAAAAGATTTTCATGTGGTACTAATTGTTGATACCTTATTTACAGGAAAGACTTGGTGTAAGATGGCTGCAGGCTACTTTAACAGACGTCAGAGATCCACTCTGTATGGAGTAGAAGAAGAGATAATATGCCAACCTCTAGAGTTGGATAGGGCAATAGGATGTACACAAGGTAAAACACCTGATTGCCTTCCTTTGTCAAGATAAAACACCTGATTGCCTCCCTTTATCAAGGTAAAACACCTGATTGCCTTCCTTTGTCAAGATAAAACACCTGATTGCCTTCCTTTGTCAAGATAAAACACCTGATTGCTTCCCTTTGTCAAGATAAAACACCTGATTGCCTCCCTTTACCAAATGTTAATCAAATGATGTGTTTACTGATGAATGTTTTCAGACTTTTTGGAATTGCCTTTGGGAATATTGGGCATTCAAAACTTCAAGACTTAATTTCAGCACCAAAATTGGCAGCAAAATGCAGATTTTAATATGTAATTCTATGTATGTTGTCCATGTACTCAGTTACAAGCCATTTTAAAAGATATTCGGGTTTCTTTCAAGAAAAACAAAGACAGAGACTGCAGCTGCCCCCTGACCAGCCAGTCAATCCTCGAGTGTTGAAAGTGGCTATCATAGGAGCCTACAACAGTGGCAAGTCAACCCTTACCAACAGTCTTATGGGCTGGAAAGTAAGCTGTATTATCTACTCAAACTTAATACATATATAATGTCCATTTATGTGTTATCTGGTCTACTCTCGTCAAGTGTGGTCTACTCACATTTACTAGAGTTTTATACTTAATCACCCTAACGATTGCCATATAAACTTATATCATGATCTTACTGTATTTGGCATCTGTTTAATTTCCTTAGCATTCTAGTTATAACCAGTGTGGGCACATCTGGATATGCCAAGGTTCTGTTTATTCCTTGTCAAAAGAAGTAGATTAGAGGGGATAGCCCTTAACTCTTGTAGATAGTCAGGACATAGTATAGAGATTAAGACTATAAATATGATACACAAGGTCTCAAACATTAGGATGTACAATAACAGCCCAAAGACTGGTCAGTGTGGAAATAAATTGACTATTTATATGAAGTATAGAAAACACATCTGCATGATGATTTGTGTAAATAGATAAAAAAATATTTATATGTGTTGTCATAAACAATGTTATTGATTCATTGACAAATTTGGTTAAGACATAATTTTATTTAAGAACTCCTGTAGATTACACAAAACAAGAAAGATGATATAACATACAAATGGTTCCTATACCAGATAGCTATTATACTGCAGACAGATATAAAGCTAATGATCCTGAATGGCAGTTGTTGTATAAAACATTCTTATAATAACAATCCTTCTGTCAAAATTTCTGCTTTGATGATCTAAGTCATACACCAGATGTTGACATAAATGTTGATGGTATCTTTGGTTAGGTGGTTATCGGTTTTCAATCTCTGTGAGGCTTCCTATCACAAGACATTGTCTCACCAACAAATGTCAATATTTTGGTAACATGCTAACTTTATATTGAAGATTGTCATTCTATTGAGAGTGCATTCAAATTTCATCCAGTACATCTGAGTGTTGCTTTGGCTAAAATTTTACATCAGTTGAAAATGTTGTCATTATAATTTCTGAAGTGTGTTAAAGTCTCTGATATATAATATACTTCACAGGTGTCTGCGGCTTCTTGTAAAATACACACAACACAGAAAAATGTGTTAGCTGTACACACTGAGGGAGACACACAGATCATCTTCAGGGACACACCTGGACTTATCCGAGGCAGCAAGATCTCGGAGAAGAAAAGGTAGGAACACAGAGGTAAACAAATGTTGGAACACACCTATAAACAAAGATAGGAGCACACAGATAAACAATCATAGGGATTCACAGATAAACAAAGGTAGGAACACAGATAAACTAGGTAGTAAGTCACAGATAAACAAAGGTAGGAACACGGATAAACAAAGGTAGGAAGTCACAGATAAACAAAGGTAGGAAGTCACAGATAAACAAAAGGAAGAAATTCACACGAAAAAAAAAGGTAGGAAGTCACAGATAAACAAAGGTATGAACACACAGATAAACAAAGGTAGGAAGTCACAGATAAACAAAGGTAGGAAGTCACAGATAAACAAAGGTAGGAAGTCACAGATAAACAAAGGTAGGAAGTCACAGATAAACAAAAGGTAGGAACACACACGTAAACAAAGGTAGGAAGTCACAGATAAACAAAGGTATGAACACACAGATAAACAAAGGTAGGAAGTCACAGATAAACAAAGGTAGGAAGTCACAGATAAACAAAGGTAGGAAGTCACAGATAAACAAAGGTAGGAAGTCACAGATAAACAAAAGGTAGGAACACACACGTAAACAAAGGTAGGAAGTCACAGATAAACAAAGGTAGGAACAAACACATAAACAAAGGTAGGAAGTCACAGATAAACAAAAGGTAGGAAGTCACAGATAAACAAAAGGTAGGAACACACACGTAAACAAAGGTAGGAAGTCACAGATAAACAAAGGTAGGAACACACACGTAAACAAAGGTAGGAAAAGGATAAACAAAAGGTAGTCACAGATAAACAAAGGTAGGAACACAGATAAACAAAGGTAGGAAGTCACAGATAAACAAAGGTAGGAAGTCACAGATAAACAAAGGTAGGAAGTCACAGATAAACAAAAGGTAGGAAGTCACAGATAAACAAAGGAAGGAAGTCACAGACAAACAAAGGTAGAAACATGGATAAACAAAGGTAGGAAGTCACAGATAAACAAAGGAAGGAAGTCACAGATAAACAAAAGGTAGGAACACACACGTAAACAAAGGTAGGAAGTCACAGATAAACAAAGGTAGGAAGTCACAGATAAACAAAGGTATGAACACACAGATAAACAAAGGTAGGAAGTCACAGATAAACAAAGGTAGGAAGTCACAGATAAACAAAGGTAGGAAGTCACAGATAAACAAAGGTAGGAAGTCACAGATAAACAAAGGTAGGAAGTCACAGATAAACAAAGGTAGGAAGTCACAGATAAACAAAGGTAGGAAGTCACAGATAAACAAAGGTAGTCACAGATAAACAAAGAAGGAAGTCACAGATAAACAAAGGTAGGAACACACAGTATACAAAGATAAACAAAGGTATGAACACACAGATAAACAAAGGTAGGAAGTCACAGATAAACAAAGGTAGGAACACACAGATAAACAAAGGTAGGAAGTCACAGATAAACAAAGGTAGGAAGTCACAGATAAACAAAGGTCTGAACACACAGATAAACAAAGGTAGGAAGATAAACACAGATAAACAAAGGTAGGAAGTCACAGATAAACAAAGGTAGGAAGTCACAGATAAACAAAGGTAGGAAGTCACAGATAAACAAAGGTAGGAAGTCACAGATAAACAAAGGTAGGAAGTCACAGATAAACAAAGGTAGGAAGTCACAGATAAACAAAGGTAGGAAGTCACAGATAAACAAAGGTAGGAAGTCACAGATAAACAAAGGTAGGAAGTCACAGATAAACAAAGGTAGGAAGTCACAGATAAACAAAGGTAGGAACAAAGGTAGGAAGAAGTCACAGATAAACAAAGGTAGGAAGTCACAGATAAACAAAGGTATGAACACACAGATAAACAAAGGTAGGAAGTCACAGATAAACAAAGGTATGAACACACAGATAAACAAAGGTAGGAAGTCACAGATAAACAAAGGTAGGAAGTCACAGATAAACAAAAGGTAGGAACACACACGTAAACAAAGGTAGGAAGTCACAGATAAACAAAGGTAGAAACAAACACATAAACAAAGGTAGGAACACAGATAAACAAAGGTAGGAAGTCACAGATAAACAAAGGTAGGAAGTAACAGATAAACAAAGGTAGGAAGTCACAGATAAACAAAGGTAGGAAGTCACAGATAAACACAGGCAGGAACACACAAGAGAAACAAAGGTAGGAACACACACACAAACAAAGATAGGATCACACACATAAACAAAGATAGGAACACTCACATAAACAAAGGGAGGAACACACAGATCATCTTACTGGAAGAACTGCATCTGCATCTCCACCAAACATAGGTAGTACTTATATCAATTTATCATATAAAAGATCTATAGAAAGTGATGTAGTGGTGACATTTCCTTTGTCTGTATTTTTGTGGTGATTACTGGATTACATTGACAGTAGAGATGTTAAGTGGTCATGTTAATTAGATAATACTCCTTTCTTATTCAGGAATAAACTACTAAAGTCAGTGCTTGAGGATCCTAAGAAGAGTTTGGTACAAGCTGACCTCAGTAAGGAGGATTTTATCATATTGTAGATGTATATAATAGCATCCTGTCATATTACACAGAGATGTCTAATTGCTTAATTACAATATGTAAATGTAACCACAATGTAATATGCAGATGTGATACATACAGTACTGTAATTAAGGATTGAATCTTGCTTATGTCGATTTTATGGGATGATGAATTGAGTTGGTCTTGAGACAAATTTAATGAACTGCAAAGAGTTCACATTGAATTTGTCTCAAGACCAACTCAATTCATCATCCCATGAAATAAACATAAGCAAGTTTCAATCCTTATATTTCAATTCACGCTTCTTTTTTTCTATAGCTTGGGAACTGACGCAATTTATCTCCTACTTTCATTTTCGTTTCTTGTCATCATATCATTTGGCGTCATACAAGCAAATAGTCTGTCATTTGAAGACAGATTGTTGTGACAGGTTGAAATATATTTAAGTGTGGGTACTTAATATTCAATGAAACATAAATAAGAACAAAATTTAATATATTTTTCGACAACTTTAATGAAAATTTGAATAATACTGTGCAACAAAGACAGTATGCATTTTTCCGTGGAATAACGTCTAGTTACAGTTATTAAATGTTGAATACACATTTAAAAAAAAAATTTATTGATTGTTTTGAAAAGTTTTTAAATTTTTATTTTGATGTTTTTAAATCTCATACTTGTGGTATATTGCCAGAGTTTTTTCCCCTTACCTAATATTTGTATTCATACGCACTGGCAATGTTAATCTGGTCAAATTCATCAGCAAATGAAACAGATCACTTTTAGTAGTTTCATTGAGTCTGATTTGGGTAGAAATTGAAATATTTAAGGATTGAATCTTGTTTATGTCGATTTCTAGGGATGATGAATAGAGTTGGTCTTGAGACAAATTTAATGAACTGTTATATATAGATGTAATACATACAGTACTGTAATATCACAATGTTGTATTATGATGTTATATATTACATGACAATGTCATATCACATTTGTATATCATTACATTAATTAGATCTGAATTCTGTATAGATGATATTTAAAGGAACATTTTAACTTCAGAAATATGCTACCTTAAAATTTTTCTAAATAATTATCAAAATTAGTATCGTTTCTGTAACAATAAATGTGCCTGACCCTGATGAACTAAGCGTGGGTTTGAACAGAATATACAAGTAATCTATCATTATTTGTTGGTACTTGATTATTGGTCAAAACTACGAAAGTTATATGATTGCTAGAAATGTTATATCATCACTAGTAAAGATTTCTAGCATCATCTCTGGAATAGATAAATTCCTATATTTCGCTGGCAAAAATGTAACAAAAATGTTATACATTATGAAATATCATGTGACAAAGTAATATCATAGTGTTTTATCTACTGGTATACCGTACCATGTTATTTCACCTGTTTTGACCACTATGACCTTGACACAGTTTTATGACAATTTATGTTTTCAGTTTGTGTGATGATAGATGCTTCAGACAGTTGGGATATTGAATTTCTAGATGAGAATATTTATCATCTTCTGTGGAAAAATAAACACATTCCATCTGTCCTTATACTAAATAAGGTAAGTTATAATGTCATTCATTCTTAAATATTCTATTGGATAATTGCTATATTAACTTTCTGTTAAAATGAAAAATGCGGCTTATTTCTGGTGAGAGCCTTGTTGAAGTATGTTCTTAATATTTGTACTGTTTAGATTGACCTTCTGAAGAGACGCGATTTCCTGCTCCACATCACACGGATGCTCACCATGGACACTGTAGGGGGCAACAAGATCCCAATTACTACCAGTAAAACAAAACCAGGCTGGAAAGTCAGTACAGTGTAGTAATTGTCCTAAGATAAAGATACAGTGTAGTAATTGTCCTACATAAAGATACAGTGTAGTAATTGTCCTACATACAGATACAGTGTAACACTTGTCCTACATAAAGATACAGTGTAGTAAATGTCCTACATAAAGATACAGTGTAGTAATTGTCCTACATAAAGATACAGTGTAGTAATTGTCCTACATAAAGATACAGTGTAGTAATTGTCCTACATAAAGATACAGTGTAGTAAATGTCCTACATAAAGATAGTAATTGTCCTACATAAAGATACAGTGTAGTAATTGTCCTACATAAAGATACAGTGTAGTAATTGTCCTACATAAAGATACAGTGTAGTAATTGTACTACATAAAGATACAGTGTAACACTTGTCCTACATAAAGATACAGTGTAGTAATTGTCCTACATAAAGATACAGTGTAGTAATTGTCCTACATAAAGATACAGTGTAGACATAAAGATACAGTGTAACACTTGTCCTACATAAAGATACAGTGTAGTAATTGTACTACATAAAGATACATGTCCTACATAAAGATACAGTGTAACACTTGTCCTACATAAAGATACAGTGTAGTAATTGTCCTACATAAAGATACAGTGTAACACTTGTCCTACATAAAGATACAGTGTAGTAATTGTCCTACATAAAGATACAGTGTAGTAATTGTCCTACATAAAGATACAGTGTAGTAATTGTCCTACATAAAGATACAGTGTAGTAATTGTCCTACATACAGATACAGTGTAACACTTGTCCTACATAAAGATACAGTGTAGTAAATGTCCTATATAAAGATACAGTGTAGTAATTGTCCTACATAAAGATACAGTGTAGTAATTGTCCTACATAAAGATACAGTGTAGTAATTGTCCTACATAAAGATACAGTGTAGTAATTGTCCTACATAAAGATACAGTGTAAAAATTGTCCTACATAAAGATACAGTGTAGTAATTGTCCTACATAAAGATACAGTGTAGTAATTGTCCTACATAAAGATACAGTGTAGTAATTGTCCTACATAAAGATACAGTGTAGTAATTGTCCTACATAAAGATACAGTGTAGTAATTGTCCTACATAAAGATACAGTGTAGTAATTGTCCTACATAAAGATACAGTGTAGTAATTGTCCTACATAAAGATACAGTGTAGTAATTGTCCTACATAAAGATACAGTGTAGTAATTGTCCTACATAAAGATACAGTGTAGTAATTGTCCTACATAAAGATACAGTGTAGTAATTGTCCTACATAAAGATACAGTGTAGTAATTGTCCTACATAAAGATACAGTGTAGTAATTGTCCTACATAAAGATACAGTGTAGTAATTGTCCTACATAAAGATACAGTGTCCTACATAAAGATACAGTGTAGTAATTGTCCTACATAAAGATACAGTGTAGTAATTGTCCTACATAAAGATACAGTGTAGTAAATGTCCTATATAAAGATACAGTGTAGTAATTGTCCTACATAAAGATACAGTGTAGTAAATGTCCTATATAAAGATACAGTGTAGTAATTGTCCTACATAAAGATACAGTGTAGTAATTGTCCTACATAAAGATACAGTGTAGTAATTGTCCTACATAAAGATACAGTGTACATAAAGATACCTTGTCCTACATAAAGATACAGTGTAGTAATTGTCCTACATACAGATACAGTGTAGTAATTGTCCTACATAAAGATACAGTGTAGTAAATGTCCTACATAAAGATACAGTGTAGTAATTGTACTACATAAAGATACAGTGTAGTAATTGTCCTACATAAAGATACAGTGTAACACTTGTCCTACATAAAGATACAGTGTAGTAATTGTCCTACATAAAGATACAGTGTAGTAATTGTCCTACATAAAGATACAGTGTAGTAATTGTCCTACATAAAGATACAGTGTAGTAAATGTCCTACATAAAGATACAGTGTAGTAATTGTCCTACATAAAGATACAGTGTAACACTTGTCCTACATAAAGATACAGTGTAGTAAATGTCCTACATAAAGATACAGTGTAGTAATTGTCCTACATAAAGATACAGTGTAGTAATTGTCCTACATAAAGATACAGTGTAACGTAATTGTCCTACATAAAGATACAGTGTAGTAATTGTCCTACATAAAGATACAGTGTAGTAATTGTCCTACATAAAGATACAGTGTAGTAATTGTCCTACATAAAGATACAGTGTAGTAATTGTCCTACATAAAGATACAGTGTAGTAATTGTACTACATAAAGATACAGTGTAGTAATTGTCCTACATAAAGATACAGTGTAGTAATTGTCCTACATAAAGATACAGTGTAGTAATTGTCCTACATAAAGATACAGTGTAGTAATTGTCCTACATAAAGATACAGTGTAGTAATTGTCCTACATAAAGATACAGTGTAGTAATATGTCCTACATAAAGATACAGTGTATTAAATGTCCTACATAAAGATACAGTGTAGTAATTGTCCTACATAAAGATACAGTGTAGTAATTGTCCTACATAAAGATACAGTGTAGTAATTGTCCTACATAAAGATACAGTGTAGTAATTGTCCTACATAAAGATACAGTGTAGTAATTGTCCTACATAAAGATACAGTGTAGTAATTGTCCTACATAAAGATACAGTGTAGTAATTGTCCTACATAAAGATACAGTGTAGTAATTGTCCTACATAAAGATACAGTGTAGTAATTGTCCTACATAAAGATACAGTGTAGTAATTGTCCTACATAAAGATACAGTGTAGTAATTGTCCTACATAAAGATACAGTGTAGTAATTGTCCTACATAAAGATACAGTGTAGTAATTGTCCTACATAAAGATACAGTGATACAGTAATTGTCCTACATAAAGATACAGTGTAGTAAATGTCCTACATAAAGATACAGTGTAGTAATTGTCCTACATAAAGATACAGTGTAGTAATTGTCCTACATAAAGATACAGTGTAGTAATTGTCCTACATAAAGATACAGTGTAGTAATTGTGCTACATAAAGATACAGTGTAGTAATTGTCCTACATAAAGATACAGTGTAGTAATTGTCCTACATAAAGATACAGTGTAACACTTGTCCTACATAAAGATACAGTGTAGTAAATGTCCTACATAAAGATACAGTGTAGTAATTGTCCTACATAAAGATACAGTGTAGTAATTGTCCTACATAAAGATACAGTGTAGTAATTGTCCTACATAAAGATACAGTGTAGTAATTGTCCTACATAAAGATACGGTGTAGTAATTGTCCTTCATAAAGATACAGTGTAGTAATTGTCCTACATAAAGATACAGTGTAGTAATTGTCCTACATAAAGATACAGTGTAGTAACTTGTCCTACATAAAGATACAGTGTAGTAATTGTCCTACATAAAGATACAGTGTAGTAATTGTCCTACATAAAGATACAGTGTAGTACAATTGTCCTACATAAAGATACAGTGTAGTAATTGTCCTACATAAAGATACAGTGTAGTAATTGTCTTACATAAAGATACAGTGTAGTAATTGTCCTACATAAAGATACAGTGTAGTAAATGTCCTACATAAAGATAAGTGTAACAATTGTCCTACATAAAGATACAGTGTAGTAATTGTCCTACATAAAGATACGGTGTAGTAATTGTCCTTCATAAAGATACAGTGTAACACTTGTCCTACATGATGATACAGTGTAACGCTTGTCCTACATAACGATACAGTGTAGTAATTGTCCTACATAAAGATACAGTGTAGTAATTGTCCTACATAAAGATACAGTGTAGTAATTGTCCTACATAAAGATACAGTGTAGTAATTGTCCTACATAAAGATACAGTGTAACACTTGTCCTACATAAAGATACAGTGTAGTAATTGTCCTACATAAAGATACAGTGTAGTAATTGTCCTACATAAAGATACAGTGTAGTAATTGTCCTACATAAAGATACAGTGTAGTAATTGTCCTACATAAAGATACAGTGTAGTAATTGTCCTACATAAAGATACAGTGTAGTAATTGTCCTACATAAAGATACAGTGTAGTAATTGTCCTACATAAAGATACAGTGTAGTAATTGTCCTACATAAAGATACAGTGTAGTAATTGTCCTACATAAAGATACAGTGTAGTAAATGTCCTACATAAAGATACAGTGTAACACTTGTCCTACATAAAGATACAGTGTAGTAATTGTCCTACATAAAGATACAGTGTAGTAATTGTCCTACATAAAGATACAGTGTAGTAATTGTCCTACATAAAGATACAGTGTAGTAATTGTCCTACATAAAGATACAGTGTAGTAATTGTCCTACATAAAGATACAGTGTAGTAATTGTCCTACATAAAGATACAGTGTAGTAATTACCCGGTAAGTTTATTGACAGATTTTTATATCACCTGAAATTAAGTTTCATTGTGACCTATTACAATTGTGTTTGTGGGGCATTGTGCATCGTGTGCCGTGTGTTTTAACATTTTTTACCTCTCCTCCAAAGTCCCTGAACTGATTTCAAGGAAATTGTGCAGAAAGTGTCCCAGACTGAAAACAAAACAAAGTAGTTAATCATGTGGTCCTCACACCTCATGGGTCTGAGGGGTGGGGCCTAAAGTGGTCAATTTTTTTCAAATATCAAAAATTGTGTTTTCAACACTCAGATATGGTAGAATCAAATGCTCTTCATGGATGGGAGGGTCTTAAGGTATTTTACCAAAATTGTGAATTGAATGAGCTCAGGATCTCACAATTCTCCTAAGTAGAGGGTGAAATTTACTATAGGTTTTATAGGAGTCTTGGATTTTTAGCCCGCCATCATCAGATGGTGGGGTATTCAAATCGCCCTGCGTCCGTGATCCGTGGTCCGTCCGTCCGTAAACAATTCTTGTTACCGCTATTTCTGGAAAAGTACTGGATGGATCTTTCTCAAATTTCATATGCAGGTTCCCCTTGGTCCCTAGTTGTGCATTGTACCTTTTTTGGACTGATTCAAATTCAAGATGGCCGACAGGTGGCCATCTTGGATTTTGGATGTAAAAGTTTGTTACCACTATTTCTGGGAAAGAACTGGATGGATCTTTCTCAAATTTCATATGCAGTTTCCCCTTGGTCCCTAGTTGTGCATTGTACCTTTTTTGGACTGATTTGAATTCAAGATGGCCGATAGGTGGCCATCTTGGATTTTGGAAGTAAAAGTTTGTTACCGCTATTTCTGGAAAAGTACTTGATGGATCTTTCTCAAATTTCATATGCAGGTTCCCCTTGTCCCTAGTTGTGCATTTTACCTTTTTTGGACTGATTCGAATTCAAGATGGCCGACGGGTGGCCATCTTGGATTTTGGAAGTAAAAGTTTGTTACCGCTATTTCTGGAAAAGTACTGGATGGATCTTTCTCAAATTTCATATGCAGTTTCCCCTTGTCCCTAGTTGTGCATTGTACCTTTTTTGGACTGATTCGAATTCAAGATGGCCGACAGGTGGCCATTTTGGATTTTGGAAGTAAAAGTTTGTTACCACTATTTCTGGAAAAGTACTGGATGTATCTTTCTCAAATTTCATATGCAGGTTTCCCTTGGTCCCTAGTTGTGCATTGTAACTTTTTTGGTCTGATTTGAATTCAAGATGGCCGAAAGGCAGACATCTTGAATTTTGGAAGTAAAAGTTTGTTACCACTATTTCTTGGAAAGTACAGGATGGATCATTCTTAAATTTCATTTGCAGGTTCCCCTTGGTCCCTAGTTGTGCATTGTACCTTTTTTGGACTGATTCGAATTCAAGATGGCCGACGGGTGGCCATCTTGGATTTTGGAAGTAAAAGTTTGTTACCGCTATTTCTGGAAAAGTACTGGATGGATCTTTCTCAAATTTCATATGCAGGTTCCCCTTGTCCCTAGTTGTGCATTGTACCTTTTTTGGACTGATTTGAATTCAAGATGGCCGACGGATGGCCATCTTGGATTTTGGATTTAAAAGTTTGTTACCGCTATTTCTGGAAAAGTACTGGATGGATCTTTCTCAAATTTCATATACAGGTTCCCCTTGTCCCTAGTTGTGCATTGTACATTTTTTGGACTGATTTGAATTCAAGATGGCCGATAGGTGGCCATCTTGGATTTTGGAAGTAAAAGTTTGTTACCGCTATTTCTGGAAAAGTACTGGATGGATCTTTCTCAAATTTCATATGCAGGTTCCCCTTGTCCCTAGTTGTGCATTGTACCTTTTTTGGACTGATTCGAATTCAAGATGGCCGACGGGTGGCCATCTTGGATTTTGGATTTAAAAGTTTGTTACCGCTATTTCTGGAAAAGTACTGGATGGATCTTTCTCAAATTTCATATGCAGGTTCCCCTTGTCCCTAGTTGTGCATTGTACCTTTTTTGGACTGATTTGAATTCAAGATGGCCGACGGGTGGCCATCTTGGATTTTGGATTTAAAAGTTTGTTACCGCTATTTCTGAGAAAGTACTGGATGGATCTTTCTCAAATTTCATATGCAGTTTCCCCTTGTCCCTAGTTGTGCATTGTACCTTTTTTGGACTGATTCGAATTCAAGATGGCAGACAGGTGGCCATCTTGGATTTTGGATTTAAAAGTTTGTTACCGCTATTTCTTGGAAAGCACTGGATGGATCTCTCTCAAATTTCATATGCAGTTTCCCCTTTGTCTCTAGTTGTGCATTGTACCTTTTTTGGACTGATTTGAATTCAAGATGACCGACGGGTGGCCATCTTGGATTTTGGAAGTAAAAGTTTGTTACCGCTATTTCTGGAAAAGTACTGGATGGATTTTTCTCAAATTTCATATGCAGTTTCCCCTTGGTCCCTAGTTGTGCATTGTACCTTTTTTGGACTGATTTGAATTCAAGATGGCTGACGGATGGCCATCTTGGATTTTGGATTTAAAAGTTTGTTACCGCTATTTCTGGAAAAGTACTGGATGGATCTTTCTCAAATTTCATATACAGGTTCCCCTTGTCCCTAGTTGTGCATTGTACCTTTTTTGGACTGATTCGAATTCAAGATGGCCGACAGGCAGCCATCTTGGATTTTGAGAGTAAAATCTTGTTACTGCTATATCTGAGGAAGTACTGGATGGATCCTTCTGATATTTCATAGATATTGGTTTCCCTTGGTCCCTAGATGTGCATTGTACCTTTTTTGGACTGATTTGAAATCAAGGTGGCCCACAGGCCGCCATCTTGGATGTCAACAGTAATACAGCACAAACATATTGTCTATTATCCACCTGTAAATGACTGCTATCTAATAATACTTTGGGATCTTTTTCAAATGATATTTGCTAATAAGTGCTTAATAAAAATATCATGTGCCATCATTGAGTACATTCAATGAAGACCAGTTCATGAACATTTACAACACCTGTAACAAACAATAAAAATAAACAAATCTTCAAGAACTGAAAATAGATCCTCAAATGGTGGGCGCCAAGATCCCTCTGGGATCTCTTGTTTAGAGTGAAATTGTGTATTTTCCATGGAAAATAACATTGTAAGGTTTATTAGTATTTAGTAGAGGATGACAATTTTAATGGTATGCATAAAGTGAGAGTGGCTGACCCCCAAGGACATGCTGTCATAATGGCTGTCCCCACCCAACAACCCCTCCCACCAACGCCCTAGGACATGCTGTTATAATGGCTGTCCCCACCCAACACCCCCCTCCCCCCACACCAACCCCCAAGGACATACTGTCATAATGGCTGTCCCCACCCAACAACCCCTCCCACCAACGCCCTAGGACATGCTGTCATAATGGCTGTCCCCACCCAACACCCCCCCTCCTCACCAACGCCCTAGGACATGCTGTCATAATGGCTGTCCCCACCCAACATCCCCCTCCTCACCAACGCCCTAGGACATGCTGTCATAATGGCTGTCCCCACCCAACACCCCCCTCCCACCAACGCCCTAGGACATGCTGTCATAATGGCTGTCCCCACCCAACACCCCCCCCCCTCCTCACCAACGCCCTAGGACATGCTGTCATAATGGCTGTCCCCACCCAACACCCCCCTCCTCACCAACGCCCTAGGACATGCTGTCATAATGGCTGTCCCCACCCAACACCCCCCTCCTCACCAACGCCCTAGGACATGCTGTCATAATGGCTGTCCCCACCCAACACCCCCCTCCCACCAACGCCCTAGGACATGCTGTCATAATGGCTGTCCCCACCCAACACCCCCTCCTCACCAACGCCCTAGGACATGCTGTCATAATGGCTGTCCCCACCCAACACCCCCTCCTCACCAACGCCCTAGGACATGCTGTCATAATGGCTGTCCCCACCCAACACCCCCCTCCCACCAATGCCCTAGGACATGCTGTCATAATGGCTGTCCCCACCCAACCACCCCCCCCTCCTCACCAACGCCCTAGGACATGCTGTCATAATGGCTGTCCCCACCCAACACCCCCCCTCCTCACCAACGCCCTAGGACATGCTGTCATAATGGCTGTCCCCACCCAACACCACCCCCCCCACCAACGCCCTAGGACATGCTGTCATAATGGCTGTCCCCACCCAACACAACCCCCCCCACCAACCCCCAAGGACATGCTGTCATAATGGCTGTCCCCACCCAAAACAACAACCCCCACCAACCCCCAAGGACATGCTGTCATAATGGCTGTCCCCACCCAACACCCTCCTCCCCCCACACCAACCCCCAAGGACATGCTGTCATAATGGCTGTCCCCACCCAACACCCCCCTCCCCCAACACCAACCCCCAAGGACATGCTGTCATAATGGCTGTCCCCACCCAACACCCCCCTCCCCCCACACCAACCCCCAAGGACATGCTGTCATAATGGCTGTCCCCACCCAACACCCCCCTCCCCCCACACCAACCCCCAAGGACATGCTGTCATAATGGCTGTCCCCCCCCACACACACACCAGCCCCCCCAAGGACACACTTTCATACTGGCTGACCCCCCCCCCCCACTTCCGCAAGGACATATACATTTGCATTTACTATTGATCTCCATTTCTTACTGTTTAAGTCAAATTTATATATGATAAGTGTACAGCTTAATCTGACCTGTTTAATTCAAATTCAAATATGATCAGCCTACAGATAAATAGCTTAATTAGACCAGTTGTCTTACTCACTCCTATTTTATTTTTTTGCAGGTAGTGACATTTTGGAGTATGCAAAACGATGTACTTACAATTCACGTTAATATCAACATGTTTAGAAGCCGAAGTATGGTGAGTTCTTTTGATGAGTAGGTTTCAGTGGTATGTTGTCTTAGAACACAGGAAAGAGTCTTAAAAAATCTGACAAATGGTGTCTATCTAATATTACTTTACACAGAGTTATCTACCCTAAACCACTGCTGCTACGTAAAATTACTTGAAGTACTTTCAAAATTCAAAATATAATGCCTGATCTGCTATGGTGAAACAAAGACATGTCATCTGGCTCTGTATTATGTGACTTAGGTAAGTAATTCTGTTCTAGATGGCAAGGTATCATTAATTTTTTGTGAATTTCTACATAAAATAGGGGTTGGTGCTTGCAGAAATTTCTGGAAATGATATTCAGTATGAGTTTAAATAGAACATATTTTTTTTATTGGTTCATTGTTTTATATTTGACAGAAAATTCTGAGCTTTTACATGTAACATGTCAAACATGCCATTCAGGTGCAGACATTTATCATGGAATAATTCAATGCCACCTGGACCGTTTCAGAGGGGATATGCAAAAGGGGCTTATGTAACTCTTATTAGGTGGTTGTTGTAAATGACGCTATATTAGATGACGAAGGTAGATAACTCTGTTATTTAAATGTAAATAATACATTGCATGAGGCAGTTAATTATGGAAACAATGACAGGAAATGCTTTTATTTGTTAGTGAATGACAGGACTTTTGTTTGTAAGTAAAGGAGATATATTTGTACATTAAGGATTTTTATTTAGTAATTTTGTAAATTTCAGAGCATAGTGATTGGACCTAAAGGATCATTGATACAGAAGATAAAAGAAGAATCACATGCCGCCCTGATGGATGCTTTCCGCTGTGATGTCATCCTGTCATTGCGAGTTTATAAGGAAGAAAAGAAGAAAGGATCGAAAAACAAAGAATATTTGGATATGAAAGCGTTTGAAAAAGACAAAAAATCTGCACAAAATACATCTAAAAAACCAGAAGTCTTCACTGCAAATAACACATAGATGTTTTAAAAGAGGAGATCTCCACCAGGACAGAAATACCGGTGATCTTTCCTATGGAGGGAAAGAGCTGCTGGATTGCATATACAACAACAATTATACAAAAATTTGTTTTTGTGTACTCCATTCTGTCTGTGAACTGTAATGTTGCTATTTTCTAGGAATCTGATTTTTTTTAGATCAGATAAGATTGCCAACTATACCTATAAACTGTATAAAGACAAAACCACAACCCATTTTGTTTTTCTTTTCTCTTCAAATATTTGGTAGAACCATAAAAAATAAACAACCTGTAACAGACACATGTATCAGCTGATATACACAATGTCAGTATTACTGCACCACAGCTGTTTCTGTAACAGACACATGTATCAGCTGATATACACAATGTCAGTATTACTGCACCACAGCTGTTTCTGTAACAGACACATGTATCAGCTGATATACACAATGTCAGTATTACTGCACCACAGCTGTTTCTGTAACAGACACATGTATCAGCTTATATACACAATGTCAGTATTACTGGACCACAGCTGTTTCTGTAACAGACACATGTATCAGCTGATATACACAATGTCAGTATTACTGGACCACAGCTGTTTCTGTAACAGACACATGTGTCAGCTGATATACACAATGTCAGTATTACTGGACCACAGCTGTTTCTGTAACAGACACATGTATCAGCTGATATACACAATGTCAGTATTACTGGACCACAGCTGTTTCTGTAACAGACACATGTATCAGCTGATATACACAATGTCAGTATTACTGCACCACAGCTGTTTCTGTAACAGACACATGTATCAGCTGATATACACAATGTCAGTATTACTGGACCACAGCTGTTTCTGTAACAGACACATGTATCAGCTGATATACACAATGTCAGTATTACTGCACCACAGCTGTTTCTGTAACAGACACATGTATCAGCTGATATACACAATGTCAGTATTTACTGCACCACAGCTGTTTCTGTAACAGACACATGTATCAGCTGATATACACAATGTCAGTATTACTGCACCACAGCTGTTTCTGTAACAGACAGATGTATCAGCTGAGATACACAATGTCAGTATTACTGGACCACAGCTGTTTCTGTAACAGATACATGTATCAGCTGATATTCTATACACATGATGTTAATTAAGCTTGAAGTATCCTTTGTATAAGAGAAATCTATCTGTTGGATGAGTTGGCCCTTGTGCTATTGAGCTAAAAATTAGTGGGAATGTTAAGGAAAGGTGACCAACAAAGTGCTGTTATTTTTTGACCTTGTGAGAAAATTTTGATACGGTAGCCAGGGAGACTATTTCGAAACAAGATTGCACAGTCATGGTTTTCCCGTGCAACACCTATTTCAAACTTCTTCTCCAGTTTCACCAGTTGGATTGAGCTCCAATTTTACTGTCAAAAAATAGGTAACACTTGTTACAGTTACCTACTTCTCACCTACCATGCTCTGGTTGATTAAATGAACTTCTGAATAGTGTTGTTCCTGTAGGTTTCAGAGACAAAGAGAAAATTTGTGAAAGCTTTCAAAAATTCTTAAAAATGAAATAATTTTAAAACTTGGGAAGCCTGCAGCTGCTCTTTGACAAGAATTTGTAAGTTTTTCGTACTCTGGTTAAACCAAACCAAGAGGGAATCTGCAATTGAAACAAATATAATCCCAGAATAATTTTGAAATAAACTTTTTTCTTTGCATGTTTTCCTACAACTTTTTACCCGGGCTTCATTTTACAAGCACAATATTCTGTACATAATGATGTCATATACAATTATGATTTAATGCTTGAAGCCCATATATTTTTTTTCATTTTCACAGAACATCAAATATAATGAGACATTGATATTAATTTATTTCCACATCACTATTAAAAAAATTTCAGATTATGATAAAATGATAAGAGTATGGGTTAAAACAATTCAATTTAAAGTTGGAGAGGTTTTGATATCAGAATTCTTCAAGAAAATGTCGAGAAATAACAGTCTCACTTCGAAATGTCCAGAAATAACAGCCTCACTTTGAAATGTTAAGAAATAACAGCCTCACTTTGAAATGTAAGGGTAGGACAGCCTTACTTCAAAATGTCAAGAAATACCAGTCTCACTTTGAAATGCCAAGAAATACCAGCCTCACTTTGAAATGTCAGGGAAGGACAGCCTTACTCTGAAATGTCAAGAAATACCAGCCTCACTTTGAAATGTCAAGAAATACCAGCCTCACTTTGAAATGTCAGGGAAGGACAACCTTACTCTGAAATGTCAAGAAATACCAGCGTCACTTTCATATGTCCGGGAAGGACAGCCTTACTCTGAAATGTCAAGAAATACCAGCCTCACTTTGAAATGTCAAGAAATAACAGCCTCACTTTGAAATGTCAAGGTAGGACAGCCTTACTTCCAAATGTCAAGAAATACCAGCCTCATTTTGAAATGTCAGGGAAGGACAGCCTTAATTCAAAATGTCAAAAGAAATACCAGCCTCACTTTGAAATGTCAAGAAATACCAGCCTCACTTTGAAATGTCAGGGAAGGACAACCTTACTCTGAAATGTCAAGAAATACCAGCGTCACTTTCATATGTCCGGGAAGGACAGCCTTACTCTGAAATGTCAAGAAATACCAGCCTCACTTTGAAATGTCAAGAAATAACAGCCTCACTTTGAAATGTCAAGGTAGGACAGCCTTACTTCCAAATGTCAAGAAATACCAGCCTCACTTTGAAATGTCAGGGAAGGACAGCCTTAATTCAAAATGTCAAAAGAAATACCAGCCTCACTTTGAAGTGTCAAGAAATTACAGCCTCACTTTCAAATGTCAGGGAAGGACAGCCTTACTCTGAAATGTCAAGAAATACCAGCCTCACTTTGAAATGTCAAGAAATAACAGCCTCACTTTGAAATGTCAAGGTAGGACAGCCTTACTTCAAAATGTCAAGAAATACCAGCCTCACTTTCAAATGTCAGGGAAGGACAGCCTTACTTCAAAATGTCAAAAGAAATACCAGCCTCATTTTGAAATGACAATAAATAACAGCCTCACTTTGAAATATCAAGGTAGGACAGCCTTACTTCAAAATGTCAAAAGAAATACCAGCCTCACTTTGAAATGTCAAGAAATAACAGCCTCACTTCCCAATGTCAAGGTAGGACAGCCTTACTTCCAAATGTCAAGAAATACCAGCCTCACTTTGAAATGTCAGGGAAGGACAGCCTTACTCTGAAATGTCAAGAAATACCAGCCTCACTTTGAAATGTCAAGAAATACCAGCCTCACTTTGAAATGTCAAGAAATAACAGCCTCACTTTGAAATATCAGGAAAGAACATCCTTACTTTGAAATGTCAGGGAAGAACAGTCTTACTCTGAAATGTCAAGAAATAACAGTCTTACTCCAAAATGTCAAGAAAAAAGTCTTCCTGTGAAATTTTATGAAATTTTGCTTTGAATGTTAATGGCATGACAATTCCTAAAATGTTCCAGATTGTTATTTTTTGTACCCCATGAAATCTCTGAATTTGAATGAAATGAATCCTACTTTGCCTATGGCAAGTACAGTTTCATTGGTGAAGTGAAGTGAAAACAATCGTAACTATGTATAAATCAGAAAGAAGAGGTTTCAAGTTAAAAGAATTTATTACGTTACAGTTCCACAGTACAAATAACATACGTTTTAACATTTACCCTGAAACTATCAAAATCACAATTATCACTCTCCATTCAACGCAAACATCCCTTATCATGTTTTCACATTCCACTCGCATTTACAGACAACCATGTTTGTATGGTAAATCAAGATTCCCTAATATCAACAAGTCTGCAGACTGAAAGATCTATAATATGACATGAACAAAACTTTTTACATGGATTTAATTTTTTTTTACTTTTTAAATTATACGTTTTCTGATTAAACAGAATTTTACAGTAAAATGTTCGACCAATATAGAATGCATGAAACAGTAAAGCATTGACATGACTAAGAACTAAACCCTACATCCATAAGAGATTGTTGTTACTGTCAGGCACTACTGAAAAAACAAGTTGGAAGAAATCAGTAGCACTCAACAGTGAAATTCCATATCATTCAAAATTATTGGTATTTTCAGAAACAACCATATTTACATATATATATTCTGGTTACCTTGTAAATGATTAAACCATGATTTAAATTTCTGAATTACAGTTTCATGAATTAATGAGGCTTTTGCCATGTGATCACATCAATCTCTTTTATTCAATTACTATATTAGAAATTCATTATACACAAAACACTTTTTACTTTTTAGCAGTTTAAAATCAACACCACATATGCTTGAATTACCGATTTTTAACATGCCTTGATCTAGAATACCTGCTTGATATGGAATGATAATGTTTCAAATACAAAAGTTTAAATTTATAAAACACAATTTTACCGAATTAACAATACTGTGGCTAGTAGATACAGTTACTACTTATGTATATATTCTAACAGTGATATTACTTTAGTGCCTCCATGCTGAAAACATCAAATAGGATTGCCCTTATTACAATTTCTTTTCATTTTCATACAGCAAAAATTGTGGATGTGCTAATTCATCATTGTATTAGATAACAAAAGAAGTAGACTGTGCTAATTAAAGTATGCTGGAGTGTATGATTCACAAACCCTATTACTGTAATAATGGTGTTATTCTGATACAAATAATGGCAAGAATTTAAGTTGTTTTTCAAAACACACAATTTCAATATGTAATGCTTTTAGATAACTTATATATGAAAATATCTGCTGGAATTTAAAAGCTTACTGATTAATCTTCAGACACAGACTGTTCTAGTATTGTATGAATATATATATATAAACATTGAAGAAACCTGTCTTAACAGCAATCTACAACCAAACATTTTGATAAATGGTGAATGGAAGCACAGAATTTTGGCAATTGTTCACATCCATATTGCTAATGAAAGGGAATTAACTCCTGACACGGAAGAATCCAATGATTGGGCTAATTTTACACTGACAGCCAAACCATCTATCTCATGATGACGCCAGTTTTACATTGACAGTGAAAATGTTTAATGATGGGAGTGAATTTTTCCACAGCCTACTGCACACACTGACATCTCAATAATTCAAAACGATTTCAATAATCAGTCATCTCTTGATCTAATAATTCTACTCACCTATGGAAAAAACCTACCTAGAATGGCTTAGTGTTCAATCCATTTGACTGGAAAATCTATATCAACATTTGTTGGGAAAATAAGAGACAGAAAATCTATTATCACACTCACATTGTTAAAAAGATTTAGAATTTTTTTAAAGCAGAAAGTAAATAAGAAAACTGAGAGCAAATTGAAAGAAAACCAAGAGAAAACCTAATAAATCCACATTAAAAACTGTTTAATGTACAAATGAGGGATGTATGAACACAAAGATGTCTGTTAGATATGTAAACTGTTTTTATAAATTACAATGTCTATATTGTTACTGCCAACATTGTACAGATCTGAGCACAAAACAAAACACAAACAAAAAAAAATATGTCAAAATAACGTAACCACAAAAATTACAACAGCAAATACAAACTCCAAAATTTCACTCGCTTGTGTCCCTTATATCTATCCAGTATTTTACTAGTACCAACTATAAGTTTGATACATAATTCTGTAAAAGTTTAGGAACATTGTACATCTTGCAATCTGCTTTTTAGGAAATCTCCAATCACTTGGTTTCTTCAGAATCATTTCCATGCCCTTCATATAAATTTACAACGAATTCGAAATTCCAATCTAGTTTTGAATTGAGTTAACAATACCCTACCTTCTAATTATAAAGGGGGACTGTACTGGAAATGTTATTTTACTTAATTCCTGATTACTATAATTATGCCAAACCGACTGTGCTAAACTGCATACCAAAAACCCATACAGTAAAATTCTGGATTTTTGTGAGGCTAAAATTTTGTGGTTTTCCAAAACACACCAATATGGGCACTTTATAAATTATACTCAGTAAATCTGTAATACTGGTAGGATAGGGAAAGATAACAGAAAAATAGGTTATAAGATATATTATGATGTGTAAATTGAAAAAAATCTGTCAAATCCTATCATTCCTTATAAATCATATACATGTCTTTCGTCAATGATTCAAATTTAATGGTGCATTCACCGAACATTCATACAATGCACTCTGAATTGTCTCCCTTGACTCAGTACACTTGTACTAAGACCACTCAAAACAGGTTATAAAGTATATTTTTACTCTCATTCCATGATAAAATAGTAAACCTTCAATATATCAACTAAATGCTGTAATTTTTTTCTAAGTTTTATCTGATTTATAAAATATTTCCCTTACCCTTGATTCATATAAAAATTACGTAAAACAATTCCTTTTAAAATACAACTCATTAAAATCGCAAGTGCATGTATCATCATAACGTTAAAGACAAAATACAATTAACAGTACTGTATAGCCAATTATCATATTCATGGGGATAATATTTTCACATTTTGCAGTACATTAGTGTGATTGCAAAAAAATTAATCTGTAAAATAAGAAGGTGTGCTTATTAGATGTCATTTTCTTATCCTGATCACATTATTTTTATTTGTTGAAGTGTAATTTGATCGTTTTAATATTAAAAAAAAATTGCAAAAATTTTGATCAGTGAAATCACAAGCTATACAGTACAGGGTATTTAATGTAACATGTACTCAAATGTCACATGACAATTAACATAAGTCCAATATAAAAGTTGTATCCATAAAAATTTCACTGGCCATGGCAGCTATTTCAAATGATTTCAGTAACATTGCTTGGTAAGATAAAACACAAATCACATTTAAGCGCACAAAAAAAAAAAAAAAAAAAAATGAAAGGAAAATCCATGATTAGGAAATCTAGCTACACATTAGTAATATCTTTACAGATGAGCCAATCAGCACCCGGAGAGGCCTGTCTACCCAGACAATATACCTTTCTAAACAATGCGTCTTCAGTCCCTTTCACAGGTTTATAACCCACAAAATGTCAGTATTCAGGTTATCCTGAAAAAATGAATCACTCATTGGAAGGACAATACAATATCACTGACATGCTCTCCAAAACGACACTATTCCTGCACAGCTGTCCTCCAATCATGACATTCCTTCACTCTAAATACAGAATATCATTGGTAAATATTTCACCAATCATCTCTTGTTTTCTAAATCCTCTGTATGTCTCTTTTTCATGGCACATATAACCTGGCTAATTGTTTAATTATCTAAAGAATTGTAAAAGCCAAGGTAGCACTGTCATTCTCACTGCCGAGTCCTCAGGGTGACACACACAAAAAACAGACATGACATACTCCGATGCTAATGGATTTCAATACTCTCGTAGTGTTCAAATCAAAGATTTCACAAAGAAGTATCCAACAGTTAGTTTCTGAGAAATCCTTCCCACTTCAGAAAAATGATCTTGTCCTGAATTCTGTTTCTATGAGACACATGGATATCATACTTAACACTTTGTCCTTGAATGACGTTTAAGTTTATATGAACAGATCGAGTTCTGATACACACGTATGTATACAACAAACATGATGATGTTCGGGTTTTCCAATTTTGATGTTCGTAATTTGACACAACAGAGGGACTGCTATACATCCAAATTCTTGGGTTGGATTTGAACGATGAAAGGTTCATGCCACATCCGCCGAAGATCTCCCTGTAAAAAGGATAAAATGTTAGTGACAAGATTCCTAAACTAACTCATTTGAAAAACAATTACAATGACAAATTATGCTTTGTAATATTATCACTTAATATCTTTACTTTACTAAAAATAAAAAAGGAAGAAAAAATTCTTTAAAGTCTTCATTATCAAATTATTTTGAACTAAAACATTCCTCTACAGTAATTCATCTTAAATCTGTCAACATCTTCACAAAGAATTCACCAAAATATGATGGACTGTCTCCTCCACACCGCATAACCAAAATATGATGGACTGTTCCCTCCACAAGGAATTCATCAAAATATGATGGACTGTCCCCTCCACACAGCATAACCAAAATATGATGGACTGTTCCCTCCACAAGGAATTCATCAAAATATGATGGACTGTCCCCTCCACACAGAATTACCAAAATATGATGGACTTTATCACGTTAAATAATATCTACAGGTGATAATCAAAAGGTGAATACTCCAACCCAAACATTCCTAATTCCATGTTTCTTTGTGAAAACCCCAAGGGCATAAATACCTGTCCAACACACCTTAGGTGCACAGGGGTCATATGTCAATACCAAGAGGTCAAAGACTGTGTCAAACCACAGACAAATTTATATATAACCATGTTCTTGTCTGCTTATGCTGTCATATCCCTGAGGTCAGGAAAATACGTCTACCTAAACTATTCTTACCACAGAGGTAGTGAGGACTGGTAAACAGTTGCCTCGCCTTTTATCATACCACTGAGGTCATGTACACATGCCTATCCCACCTATACTACACCCCTACTCTGTTATTTGTGCTCACCTTAAGGTACGCCATTGTCAGCAGCGGTAACAAGTAAACGGTACCCACCTGTACTACACCCCTACTCTATGTTATTTGTGAGAGTGCTTACCTTAAGGTACGCCATTGTCCGCAGGGGTAACAAAGTAAACGGTACCCACCTGTACTACACCCCTACTCTATGTTATTTGTGAGAATGCTCACCTTAAGGTACGCCATTGTCCACAGGGGTAACAAAGTAAACGGTACCCACCTGTACTACACCCCTACTCTGTTATCTGTGCTCACCTTAAGGTACGCCATGGTCAGCAGGGGTAACAAGTAAACGGTACCCACCTGTACTACACCCCTACTCTATGTTATTTGTGAGAGTGCTTACCTTAAGGTACGCCATTGTCAGCAGGGGTAACAAAGTAAATGGTATCCACCTGTACTACACCCCTACTCTATGTTATTTGTGAGAGTGCTTACCTTAAGGTACGCCATTGTCAGCAGGGGTAACAAAGTAAATGGTACCCACCTGTACTACACCCCTACTCTATGTTATTTTCTGAGAGTGCTCACCTTAAGGTACGCCATTGTCAGCAGGGGTAACAAAGTAAATGGTATCCACCTGTACTACACCCCTACTCTATGTTATTTGTGAGAGTGCTCACCTTAAGGTACGCCATTGTCAGCAGGGGTAACAAAGTAAATGGTATCCACCTGTACTACACCCCTACTCTATGTTATTTGTGAGAGTGCTCACCTTAAGGTACGCCATTGTCAGCAGGGGTAACAAAGTAAATGGTACCCACCTGTACTACACCCCTACTCTATGTTATTTGTGAGAGTGCTCACCTTAAGGTACGCCATTGTCAGCAGGGGTAACAAAGTAAATGGTATCCACCTGTACTACACCCCTACTCTATGTTATTTGTGGGAGTGCTCACCTTAAGGTACGCCATGGTCAGCAGGTGTAACAAAGTAAATGGTACCCACCTGTACTACACCCCTACTCTATGTTATTTGTGAGAGTGCTTACCTTAAGGTACGCCATGGTCAGCAGGGGTAACAAAGTAAACGGTACCAGGTAAAGAAGTGCTGGCTGAGCAGCCTTGAACACTTCTGATGACACAGTGGCTGTTAACAAACCTAAATTGTAAAAGAACATTAATTCAGAATGATAATTATAAGTGTGAAACGATATTAGGGATTTTTTGTTATTTTTTTTTTAGACTCTATCACACATATATTCTATCTGATTGTATGGAAATAAATGTAACAACCCTGAAACATCACCATTATATAAAACTCAACAGAATGGACCAAAATAGAGATTACATTGGAAATTTGTGTAACCATACAATGAGGTAAATAGAAACAAGTAGAATAAGAGGCTATCATGAGACTGATTTGGAATGGCACAGGACTGGACAAATTATCACTAATGTTCACCAATGAAATGGAAGCATCATAAAATGAGAAATATTTTACACACCTAAGAAATAACCTATAAGGGAACAATGGAAATATGTGAGTTTCTGTACGTAGTTGGAAGGTGGAGGTACACCTGCCTCAATCGAGGCCACCTGTGACTTCTTATACGCATCATAACGCAGCACAAAACACAAAAGTAAACCTGGCATCACCTACAATATAAACATATTGTGATACATCAGTAATGTCAGAACTTACTAAATCAATAGGACAAATTACATCTAAAACAGGACTAGATTTATGATAGTCAATCTGAAACCAGTCTTATCTTCAATGACCTAGATTGATGACAACTGTGACCTTGACTAGTCATCTAATAGACGATATAATATCTATAAGATCTATTAAGATACTTGGTACAAGCTGAGATGTATTGAAAACAATCTTTTATCCTGAACCGCCTATATGGTAGTCATACTCTTCCTCACATTCATAAAGTGACAATCAAATCATTTTGCAAACATCTTAAATTTTTTTTTTTATATAAGCCTTGATTCAAAAGAGTTATACTTACAATATCTCCCAACCCAAGCATGGAAAAGTGACTAGAATTCTGCAAACTGTAACATAATAGATATCATATCTGATAGAGCAGAAAATAAGGAATACATCTTGCTAATTACCAAATAAAGCATTGTACAAAAACAATTAATACAAAATGTACATTAAACTGATCAAATAGAACTCTAATATCATTTAGCATAAAAGTATCAAATTGCTACGCAAGAAATTGAGATATAAAATTTTTTTTAAAGATAAGTTGCAACATCATGAAAATAAATGAAAGAATCATCATTCTGTAGAAAATATCATACAGTTGTCTTGAAAACAAAACAAAATATGTGCTGACTAAGTCTTGTTACCTTGGAAACACTAATTTTCCTGGCAAAGAGAGTTTTGGGGCGTCTCTCATCAGACCATTCAGATGCAGCCTTTTGGCAAGAACTCCCACCTATAGAAACAAGATTTGAAGTGATATCTCCTCCAATAAACATTGAGGTGCTGAAGAGGGATTATTGTCACAGAACATTGAGGTCAGTCTCTGGTGCTGAAGAGGGATTATTGTCACAGAACATTGAGGTCAGTCTCTTGTGCTGAAGAGGGATTATTGTTAAATAACACTGAGGTCAGTCTCCGGTGCTGAAGAGGGAGTATTGTTAAATGAGACTGAGGTCAGTCTCTGGTGCTGAAGAGGGATTATTGTTAAATAACACTGAGGTCAGTCTCTGGTGCTGAAGAGGGATTATTGTTAAATGACACTGAGGTCAGTCTCTGGTGCTGAAGAGGGATTATTGTTAAATAACACTGAGGTCAGTCTCTGGTGCTGAAGAGGGATTATTGTTAAATAACATTGAGGTCAGTCTCTGGTGCTGAAGAGGGATTATTGTCACAGAACATTGAGGTCAGTCTCTGGTGCTGAAGAGGAATTATTTGTTATCAATGAGTTTTATTTCTTCACATCCATAATTTCAAAAAGTTTAAAGACATGAAAATATATTCTTTAATGTTAAACATGTGGTCAAGCAGAATTAAATTATTTTTCCTACCATGTGAACATAACAAATTTACTTCATAAGCAAAATATACACAGAATTGAAAGAATAGAAATTCAAGGTTTCACAAACAATCTGTATCCATATCTTGTGGGATCAAGTACCAAAGTTATAAAAGCAAAACACATTCATGATGTATTACAATCCAAGAACATCCCATACATTCATAAAATTTTATCCCTAAAAAAAAATCCTCACAGCGTTCTTTGTAGGAATATTTTTTTTATTTAGAATTCACCGATTTCATATATCGTATAATAAAGCAAACAAACAAAGACATGCTTGACTGGGGTTTCAACATTGTCACTCCTGTATGCTTCTCCAACATTAATAAAAAGTCATGTTATGTTGGAGTCTTCTTGTAGCTGATGGCTACCTCCCCGAACAATGTATGGAAGGCTAAGAGTAGCACAAAACACTTAGCAAGGGATTAACATCATATGTATTGTTGATCAACAGCATTCAGGAAATTGGCAGGACTAAAATTCATGTGAATTTTTTACTGTTAATCATTTTTGGACGTATGAATTAAAGGTTGTTAAGAATAATGAACCAAATCAAGACTGCAAACCCTTCCCCCTCCTGCAGACAATCAATGATTTTATAGGACACACCTTGAATCTTCATCTGAGTGTAAACTTTGATAAACTTACCGGATTTTCTGCAGGTCGAGTGGCTACCTTAACCATAACATTGGCACTAAATATGTATGAAGAAAAAAACACCTGTGAAAAAATAACAGTAAAATTACATTTCAAAAACAGCAAAGTGAAAGTACAGCTTGGAAACCACTGGAAATATATGTATAACAATGTAAGGTTTGCAAAATAAAAACCATGATATTATTACATCTGTGTGACTGATGAGTCACATTTAAAGCGATGAAGATCAAAGATAATTGAGAAAAAGGTTTTACTATATTGACAAAATTTTGTGATAGTTTAATATATTTACAAATCTGGAGGTGTTAATACTTACCCAGAACACATCATAGATGAGGAGACCAACAAGGAGCAAGGTAGACACCTTGAGACTGGGTAATCGTACAAGGGCTATAAATGCCACACACAGACCCATACCAAGGGCTGTAATACAAAACATGTACATTTATAATGAGCTATGAATGCCACACACAGACCCACACCCAGGGCTGTAATACAAAACATGTACAATTATAAGGGGATATGAATGCCACACACAGACCCACACCCAGGGCTGTAATACAAAACATGTACAATTATAATGGGATATGAATGCCGCACACAGACCCATACCCAGGGCTGTAATACAAAACATGTACAATTATAATGGGCTATGAATGCCACACACAGACCCATACCCAGGGCTGTAATACAAAACATGTACAATTATAATGGGATATGAATGCCACACACAGACCCACACCCAGGGCTGTAATATAAAGCAGTCAAATTAAACATTTCTTCTGGGGAAAATACTTTCTCAAGAATTAAACTTAACTGATAACATTTCAAAGTCCTTTAACGTGAAAATATTTTTTCTCAGGTAAATCTTAGGATAATATCCACAGTTGCCATGGTGATTTACTATCTGTATCTAATCAATGAGGACTTGTACAAACAATGGTTGCCAGGGTAACATACCGTCCATGAGTAGCCAATGTCCAGTGAGGACCCAGATGCACACTATCAAAAAGGCCAAACAGAAAGAGAGTATCTCTGCAGCAGTGAACCGGCCACACACACCAAACGATATCCTGGAAATTTAAAGAAAACATTTTCAGATGGTTGGATAAAATAAAACAAAAGGTCAAATAAGCCTGCATCATTCATCAGAAGTTGTTCTCAAAAAAATATCACATACATAATCAATTATTTATTTAAATTAACTTGACAGCTAGTAAGCCAACTCTCCAGTCTAAATGTTATTTCTCTACATCTTACACACCTGTGTTAAAATATTCAACAAATAAGTTATTCCTGAAAGCTACAATGATGACTATGACCTTGAATGATTCAGTCTTTATATTACAAGGTCATTTCAGATCGGAACGTTTGAATCATTTCAAGCAAAAAAGTTAAGACTTCATGGCTCTTTAAAAGAAATTCTTTGTTTTAAAATTTTTGATCATTTCACCCTTGACTGAAAATTAAGTTATCTTGTCATTTCTTTTTTACAACTTTGTAACAACATTAAGAGAACTATTTGCTCCATATCATGACTCTCAGCAAATAGGGTCTTCAGAATTCCTTGGTTATTTGTTTCAACACATTTAAACTACAATCCTAAACATCAGTCATAGTAACTCATTGTTTCAAATAATGTTATATTCAAGCAAACTCCTGATTAAACTTTTGTTCAATCAGATTTTAAGAATAAAATATTTTGATTGAAAGTTTGTGGACCCCAGCCAGATGGCAGATGTCAAGCTTATTGTGCTTCTAGTCCCAATTATACAGGGACTAAAATAAAGCTGGGTATATGTAATACTTACTTTTGTCCGCTGGAGCATGGTTTGATGAGGTACTGCGACATTGGTAAGAGGAGAAAGGCAAATGCTACTGTCGCCAACACTGAAACAGACATTCAGGAGAATCTAATCTACAAGGCAACCAATATCTAACAATGAATAAAGGATAATATCACAAGAAATTACTAAACCGGTGTAAAATCTAGTAGTATTAGATGGCTTCTCACCGAGTTTCATCTGTTTTACATAAAGACGATTTAATAACAATATCTTTCATTGATAAGCAGCACTACTGAAACTAATGATATACCCTCAAAATAAACCAACTTCAAAACAAGCCTGTATTTCCTTACATAAATCAACTTTCATTTGCCCTATATAATTAAAGAGAGGGATCATGATGTCCACCATTGTTTGGTCTTTATATATTTCCTTGCAGTTGTATCTTTTCCTTTCTTTTCTAAATATGAAACTTGAAAAAAAAATCTCAAAGGAAATATCCATTTAAATCTTAAACAACCAAATCCATGGTGATTGCCATTATTTATTTTTTTATTTTTTTTTATAAATCCCAGAATCCTAAATGCATAACTAGAGATGAAGGGTCATCTTAACATGATAAATTTGAGAAAGATCCATCCAGTACTTCATTAGAAACAGGGCGATACAGAGGACAGTAAAGTAGACTAGGGCGATATAGAGGACAGTAAAGTAAACTAGGGTGATGTAGAGGACAGTAAAGTAGACTAGGGCGATGTAGAGGACAGTAAAGTAGACTAGGGCGATATAGAGGACAGTAAAGTAGACTAGGGTGATGTAGAGGACAGTAAAGTAGACTAGGGCGATATAGAAGACAGTAAAGTAGACTAGGGTGATATAGAGGACAGTAAAGTAGACTAGGGTGATGTAGAGGACAGTAAAGTAGACTAGGGCGATATAGAGGACAGTAAAGTAGACTAGGGCGATATAGAGGACAGTAAAGTAGACTAGGGTGATGTAGAGGACAGTAAAGTAAACTAGGGTGATATAGAGGACAGTAAAGTAGACTAGGGCGATACAGAGGACAGTAAAGTAGACTAGGGCGATACAGAGGACAGTAAAATAGACTAGGGAGATATCGAGGACAGTAAAGTAAACTAGGGCGATATAGAGGACAGTAAAGTAGACTAGGGCCATAAAGAGGACAGTAAAGTAGACTAGAGCGATATAGAGGACAGTAAAGGAGGCACATGTCTACAAATCACTATGCTGTTTAGTATCAACTGATGCTTGTTTCATACTTCAGCAGTAAGCAAGAGCTTATTATAATGTCCTGGGCATACGTTTTTATAAAGATACAGTATACAGTTGGGATCAAAATCATTCATGTTGTCAAAACACCGACATTCATCAGTGAGACAACGACTAGAGACAGGAGGAGTCACGGAGATGGAAAACCTCAAATCAACCAACCATTTATGTAGTGTTTTTCATTTTTCAGTGGGACAATATCAAAGGAAGCTCATGGAAATGGACTATAACCTGTAGTGGTGGGACGATGATAGAATATAATCTATTGTCTAATTGTTTGAACCAATCTATAACCTGTAGTGGTAGGACAATGATAGAATGTAATCTATTGTCTAATTGTTTGAACCAATCTATAACCTGTAGTGGTAGGACAATGATAGAATGTAATCTATTGTCTAATTGTTTGAACCAATCTATAACCTGTAGTGGTAGGACAATGTAGAATATAACCATTGTTTGTCTATAACCTGTAGTGGTAGGACCTCATTGTTTAACCTTGTCATTGATCCATTGTACTTTTTCATAGTTGATCATCGGCATCGTAATATTTTTTTGTGTTTTAGTAAAATCAATATTTACATTTGCTTCATAAAAATTCCAATTGCTGACAAGATATGTATGTATATAATTAATTTAGTTACAAAAAGAAAAAAAATACTGCAATGGAGAATATTTCACTTTCTATGAATCTTGAAAATCTTTGTACAGTCAATCAAATATGTAACTGATTGACAACCTTGAAAAGCCTATTCTAACATCAAATCAATCTTGTATTTTGACTGACCAATATCCTATAATATCCATGGTTACTAGACTTATTAAATTAAAGTCAGGGGAGGCTTTTGACACTTTCTCTTGTGTCTTTTGTGTAACATAATCATTACAAAGCTGTGAAGACACACCTATGTAAGTATGCACTGGCATTTCCAGGGAATCAACAGGTGTATCAACACCTTAGTCTAGGCGAGAATCACACAACAGATGGGGAGTGAAATCTATGGTAAAATCTGGTTACCATGGTTTTGATCAAACTCTACGTCAAACATCAGATTAACACTTAATCTGAATTTGTGATATACATCACAAAATTTACAACTAGACCAACAAACACTGGCCACAGATATACATTTAGATACATAAAAAACAACTCATTTTTAATCATGAAATCAGCAATATCTGAAATATTTCTCTTGTCAAAAGCAGAATCTGAGTTCAACTTCTAATCTCAGATTCTTACAGACATTGGATTGAATTTGTCCTCATCCTATTGGTCGTCATATGCCTATGAATGCCAACAGGATCAGGGCGAATTCAATTAAGTGCATTCAAGTATCATGTTAAATTTCGCTTTGTCCAGTTGGCATTCATAATGCTCATGAATGCCAACTTAAGCACTTCAATGTTTACATTTATCATTTTCAATATTCATCTTCCTATGGGGAAGGCAACGTCAATTTGCATTTATTGCTTGCAAAATTCCTACATCACTGGCAGAGATGATAATACAAAACTAACTCTGAGAATGTGATATATTGAGAGAACAAACATTCTTAATAAGTCTAAGATTGTGGCAATGTTCCTTACTTTGGTAAGTCCCATGTAATTATTGTGCCTTACCTGCAGTACAAATGGCGAACACCATCTGTAGCGAATCAAAGAAGAGAAACATGACAAGGAGGGACACTGAGGCTCCAATTGGCAGAAATGCTGCTTGGCAAGAATCAATGGTCTGCAGCTCTACAGTAAAACATATTATTGTTTTTCAGAAATATTCCCACACATATATTATTCCAAATTTACTGAAGCAAACTTTATCAGTTTCCATGTATCTGTATAATGCATTTATCAATCTCGGACTATCTAAGAATAATCTATTGTGAGGAAAGGCTACATTATTCCTGCTGTTTAGCACTGATAGGAGTCCAAAAACTGTCAGGGTGCTGCTGACAATAAGTAATGACTCTAGGTATTCTGGTTCTTAAGAAGAAGTTTATTTCATTTATATGACCCATGTCACACTGTCAGTAAGCCAACAGTGTTAAGAAACTTTGTAAGACTCCTTGACATCTTATGTTACAGATTTTTCATTACAACTATATAGATATCATCCTTTTCAAACATATATTTAGGTACAGGTGGTACATAACAATAATATAGATATTTTCTGTTTCAAATAAGGTAATGAAAAGGGACATTAAACTACCTTTTTCTCCGTAGTCTAATTCTTGTTTATCACAAACTGTTTATAGTGATTCAATGCTTCAGCAATGTCATAAGATATGTACTTTAATGGTAATAGAAAAGACTTTTTTTCACCAATAAATTTCTGCATTCAAATTAAATACAAAACTGTGTTGCATTCTCTTTTAACCTAAATATTTGATCTACCTAAACTTTAGATCATGAAACTTTTATTGCAGATTTACCACAGGTAATAAACATAATTATGCAACACATATCAAATGGTTCTTTTCAGCATTATGACACCAAAGAAACTGATATGAATTAGTTCTATTTATCACAACATACAAGTGAACAAAATTTGTGTATGATTGTACAGAAGTGTGATGTTTCAAAGTTTCGCTACCATTTATAGTTACCTACGGTTGATAAAACAGGAAATATTATAAAAATCAAGAAAAGTCAAAACACTATTGTAGAAATATTTTCAGTTATGAATTCTTCACATCCTCATCACAACAAATTTCCAGAGACTAACTTTCCTGAAGCAGTTTATATTAAACTATAACCATGTCACTCTTACAGACAATTATCCTGAATATTTCATGTATCCATAGTTTGGAATGGTATGTAATATGCATGCTCACATCACTGTTTCAAAAATAAATTTGACATTATAGTAGTAATTTTTTATTACCAGTCTTAACTTCAGATGATTAATTTTTGCACTTTTTTTAAAAGTGAAATTTGCAAAAGTGAATTTGCGAAAGTAAATTTGCACATGAAAAGCAGTTGGTTTACAGCGTACAATCATACTTACGTCCTTCATTTTCTGGTGGTGGATATGAGTCCTTTACTTTTTCCTTCTCTTGATTTTCTTGGTCGATATTCAAAGATCTAGAAATAAAAGAATACATGGTCAGTGTCTTAACATACAAGCTATTTCAGAGCATGCTGAGAAAGAAAAAAAATGGTGGAACCCTTGGCAAGCCATTTTCCTCCTTCTGCTCTGAGACAAAATACAGAGAAAACGTATTAAGCAACTCTATGTAACCCTGCTAAATACAATGTACCACTTGACTAGGGAGAACTTCTCTTTAGCTCGATGGGTTGATTGTCAGACTAGAAGGCCACAGGTCCAGGGTCATAGTGGAGACAATGAAATACAAAATGACCTCTGATGTAAAGGCTGATATATAAGTGGTGTTTCCAGTGGAAGATCTTTTTCATATGTGAACATCTCATTCAACAATTCAGTGCTAAGATTACCTAGAAAACAAAATTACCAGAAACAAAGTATTGTTATTAATGAATTATGTGACTTCCAAATAAATTAGATGTGTAATAGAGGGCAAATTTGAGAAGTATCAGAGTCATTTAAATAAAAGAAGTAGATAAAAGTGCTACAGAATATGTCCATGTCTGAATTGTGAGGTAGTTTACAAGTTTGTAGCATACTGATGTTTTTAAAGGTTACATTACCAAGATCAAATTGAAGTATTAATGGCCTTTATGAATTATTTAAACTGTCGTCTGAAGCTTTTACTTGTAACAATCGTCAGTTAAAGGTAAATGTGTACCTATCTATTTACAACATAATTGCTTTCCATTATTTATATCAAAATATTTTTTCTCAACAAAAGACTGAAGTTAGTAAGGAGACAGGTAGTCTTTATTTTTTAATCTGTTCTATATATAGTATGGAGACAGGTAGTCTATTTTTTACTCTGTTCTATATATAGTATGGAGACAGGTAGTCTTTATTTTTTACTCTGTGTTCTATATGTAGTATGGAGACAGGTTGCCTTTATTTTTTACTCTGTGTTCTATATATAGTATGGAGACAGATAGTCTTTATTTTTTACTCCATGTTCTATATATAGTATGGAGACAGATAGTCTTTAATTTTTACTCTGTGTTCTATATATAGTATGGAGACAGGTAGTCTTTATTTTTTACTCTGTGTTCTATATGTAGTATGGAGAGAGGTACATGAATAGAAGACTATTGCTGTAATTTCTGACCACAGACACAAGTTTCACAAATCTTACTTAATATAAAAGCTACCATAGAAAAGCATTGTGTAAATATATGAAAAACTTGTATCTAAGGAAATTTCTCATTATACTTTCCTATGGGCTCTTTTAAATTAAATTCTTTATGTTAACGGAGATTCATGAAACTGGGGCAGGCTTAAACACAAATCTTGTACATTATGAAAAAGAAAATGTACACATGTTGCCAATCTAGCTAATTAATTAACTCACATACATGTGTACTTTAACCTCACTCTGACCTGAATTGTCAGAAGATTTTTTTCTTTCACAGATACTATACACCTCATTTTTTACCCCCCAGAGGCTGACTTTCAGATTACCTATTTGTTTAATTACATAAACTGCCAAAGGTTACGCTGGTCAATACACTACCTTAATTGAGCTGTTGTGCCTCTTCACATTTACAATGAACTAAAATCAAGAGGTAAACTTTATATAAAACATAGGATATTCTTTTGTTATTGTTATTTTTGTAGAGTTCAATTTTTGTGGTGTTCAATTTTTGTGATGTTTAAAAAAATCACTACTTCATGGATAAACATAGTTCAACAAATCTACTTGTACTTAACTGCTCCTGGACACAAATTTGTGGATTGTGAGAATCCATGAAACGATTGAAAATAAATTCCCCACAAAAATTAACAATTTCATGGAGTAGCCATTTAAACTTATTTTCTTTATCCTAATTCAAGTTTTTTCATGCTTTCACTCATTTCTGGTTCATGTCTGCTAATAAGCCCACCACAACTTTTCTGTTTGTGTTGGGTTCCTGGGCTTTTTGTAGGATAAATATGGTATATTACATTTACTATGACAACAGGCTATGTAAGCCTCCATGTAGCTATATGCCTCAATAAACACTGTATGATAGTTCTGTGTATATAATTCAGGTGACAGAGGTCATTGTCTCACTGTTATTTTTTGCCTTGTCTCACTGTTATCTATTGCTATTTAACTTGCAAACACAACATAGTAGGTCACAATTGAACCCTAATAATTTTAAATAAATAAATGTTTTCTCTATATCTGAAAAATCTTCCTAAGTGATTTCACTAATTTAATCATATTTTTCACATTATAAGCTGCACCTTTTAGCCTTGCAAGTAAGGCATGCTGCTTCTATACAGGTGCAGCTTATATGTGGAGAAAAAAAAAATTGGCAGGATGGGGGGTAAAAAAACAAGAGGCCCATGGGCCTTAACAATCATCTGACTATGAAGACTTACACACGAAAAAAGGCAAAATAGGCCTAAAATAAATTGCTCAACTACTCTACAGCTTATAGAGAAAACATTGCTGGTTCATCAAGACATTTTCTGCAAACCTGAAATCATATTCTCTATACATGCACTACACAATTGTGACCTTGAAAGTTCGTCCAATATTAGCACCCTGGGCTTTTGGGAATTGATAAAAAGTCACTATGATATTTGGACACATTAGATACCTGTGATCTTGCAGGTGGGTCAATGTTATTCAAATTATTAGAGCAGGTAGCCCTACATCCTAGCATGCTACAGGCCTAATATCATCATCCTAGGTATTTTAGTTATTGAGAAGAAGTGATTTAAAGATTCCAATATATTTGACCCATGTGACCTTTCAAGCAGATCAAGGTCATTCATATGAAGAAGGGGTTGAATCAACTTTCTGCATTTATGAATTGATTCCCAAATATCCATGATGTTTTAGAACAAATTTGGTTGAAATTTGTTCAAGCCATAAAAAAAAGAGTAGCATTTTGAAGCAAAATTTTGTCTAATTTCTCTTTAGAAGCCATGCCCCCAAGTCCCTAGGAATCAAATAAAATTTCTGAATTTAAGAAATAATTGCCACCCCTTCCTGTCAAATAAGGCCAAAGCTTGTTGAAATAAGGAGTAGGGTTTTAATGCTAATTTTAGCACCTTCCCTTTTGGGGCCCCGTCCCTGGACCCCAAGGGGTCGAATCAAAATTCTGAATTTATGAAATGATGACCCCCACACAATGATGCATCAGACCACATTTGATTGAAATCCACCAATGTATGAAAAAGGAGTAGGGTTTTAAGAAAAAGTTTACACCCAACCCACAGTGCATGACAGATGAAGCATGATAGCTATATGTCATCCTGACCCTTTGGGTCAGATGACCTAAAAACAGAAAGCGTACCAGTGCGAGACAGTACCAAGTTTTTTTTACGAGTACCTGCTCATCATGTATTTGTGACTGAAACAGATCATCTAAAACTGTCATTTGCAACTGTATATAGGATAATTTGAAGATTGAAATAAAAATAACATTCTTGTGGATTTAATTAATCATACCTTTCAATATGAATCACAAAAATATCTACTTGACGTTCGTGGTTACTTCGAACCTATCGCAAAGAATTTGGTCAGCATGTAAGGGCCTTCATTAATATTGAACAGTACAGACATCAATGGAGATATTGTTTAGTAAAACATACGTAATGTCAGGTCCTATATCTATGCATAGCCAATCTGTGAAGGCACCTAAGCCAAACAATTTTGATATTTGCAAGTTTGCTTTTTTTGAAATACATCAATAAAAGAATTATCAGTTTATGATTCGTTTGGAAACTTTATCACATGTTTCACTGATGATCTCACAAACTGTCCTCCATTGTCTGTTATATCAACAAACGTTGGTCATTGTAATGATTACCACTTCATTATAAATGGTTCAGCTTACATTCCAATGCAGCAAATATGTGGATCAAATGAAAATAAAATGGTAAAAACTGGCTCTGTGGATTATATACATGTGTGACTTATAACCCAGAAAATACGTTAGTATTGCTTTCATGTTTTGGTTATGTAAATCTTATTAGTTCCAGGTTTTAACAAAATTATGCAAGCTGAACCCATAAATTGCTTTATATATTCATGTTGAATATCAGTACTTAAGGCCAAAGTCAGATAGATATCCTAATTACTCCAGCCTAGAACACTTCTGAACCATGTATAAACGTGTACAACATACTAAGTTCTAGAAATTTGCCAGTATCTTTTGAAAAATAAATAAAAATAGCAAGAAATTGATAATATCGGGTGACAACCAAAATTCTCTGCATACGATTTAAATCTTGATACATATACTCAGGGATGTATATACTGAATTAATTCTTGCTTACCATATTATCTACATTAGCCCAGTGGGTAACACATACCTTCCCAAAGTAAAGTAGTCAGCATATAACCAGACATGTGCTTATTTGTCAAACAGGGTAGTATCATAATGGGTTTTTAAACTATTTGTTTGGCAATAACACTTGGTAAAATGATGCAGTTTAAGAAGAAATCTCTAGTATGAAAGTTGATGTGTTGGCACCTTAGCTTCCTGCAAATAATTACTGAGTAACTTTCTGGGTCTAATATGATGCTCACTTTACTGAGTAAGATTATGTGTCTAATATGATGCTCACTCTACTGAGTAACTTTCTGGGTCTAATATGATGCTCACTTTACTGAGTAACTTTCTGTGTCTAGTATGATGCTCAATTTACTGAGTAACTTTCTGTCTCTAGTATGATGCTCACTTTACTGAGTAACTTTCTGTGTCTAATGTGATGCTCACTTTACTGAGTAACTTTCTGTATGTTTAATGTTATGCTCACTTTACCAAGTAACTTTCTGTATGTCTAAAGTGATGCTCACTTTACTGAGTAACTTTCTGTGTCTAATATGATGTTCACTTCACTGAGTAACTTTCTGTGTCTAATGTGCTGCTCACTTTACCGAGTATTTTTCTGTGTCTAATATGATGCTCAATTTACTGAGTAACTTTCTGTGTCTAATATGATGCTCACTTTACTGAGTAAGATTATGTGTCTAATATGATGCTCACTTTACTGAGAAACTTTCTGTATGTCTAATATGATGCTCACTTTGCCAAGTAACTTTCTTTGCCTAGTATGATGCTCAATTTACAGAGTAACTTTCTGTGTCTAATGTGATGTTCATTTCACTAAGTAACTTTCTGTGTCTAATGTGCTGCTCACTTTACCGAGTTTTTTTCTGTGTCTAATATGATGCTCAATTTACTGAGTAACTTTCTGTGTCTAATATGATGCTCAATTTACTGAGAAACTTTCTGTCTCTAGTATGATGCTCAATTTACTGAGTAACTTTCTGTGTCTAATATGATGCTCACTTTACTGAGTAACTTTCTGTGTCTAGTATGATGCTCAATTTACTGAGAAACTTTCTGTCTCTAGTATGATGCTCACTTTACTGAGTAACTTTCTGTGTCTAATGTGATGCTCACTTTACTGAGTAACTTTCTGTATGTTTAATGTGATGCTCACTTTACCAAGTAACTTTCTGTATGTCTAATGTGATGCTCACTTTACTGAGTAACTTTCTGTGTCTAATATGATGTTCACTTCACTGAGTAACTTTCTGTGTCTAATGTGCTGCTCACTTTACCGAGTATTTTTCTGTGTCTAATATGATGCTCAATTTACTGAGTAACTTTCTGTGTCTAATATGATGCTCACTTTACTGAGTAAGATTATGTGTCTAATATGATGCTCACTTTACTGAGTAACATTCTGTGTCTAATGTGATGCTCACTTTACTGAGAAACTTTCTTTGCCTAGTATGATGCTCAATTTACAGAGTAACTTTCTGTGTCTAATGTGATGTTCATTTCACTAAGTAACTTTCTGTGTCTAATGTGCTGCTCACTTTACCGAGTTTTTTTCTGTGTCTAATATGATGCTCAATTTACTGAGTAACTTTCTGTGTCTAATATGATGCTCACTTTACCGAGTTTTTTTCTGTGTCTAATATGATGCTCAATTTACTGAGTAACTTTCTGTGTCTAATATGATGCTCACTTTACTGAGTAACTTTCTGTGTCTAATATGATGCTCACTTTACTGAGTAAGATTATGTGTCTAATATGATGCTCACTTTACTGAGAAACTTTCTGTATGTCTAATATGATGCTCACTTTGCCAAGTAACTTTCTTTGCCTAGTATGATGCTCAATTTACTGAGTAAGATTATGTGTCTAGTATGATGCTCAATTTACTGAGTAACTTTCTGTGTCTAATGTGATGTTCATTTCACTGAGTAACTTTCTGTGTCTAATGTGCTGCTCACTTTACCAAGTTTTTTTCTGTGTCTAATATGATGCTCACTTTACCGAGTAACTTTCTGTGTCTAATATGATGCTCACTTTACTGAGTAACTTTCTGTGTCTAATGTGCTGCTCACTTTACCGAGTATTTTTCTGTGTCTAATATGATGCTCACTTTACTGAGTAACTTTCTGTGTCTAATATGATGCTCACTTTACTGAGTAACTTTCTGTGTCTAATGTGCTGCTCACTTTACCGAGTATTTTTCTGTGTCTAATATGATGCTCACTTTACTGAGTAACTTTCTGTGTCTAATATGATGCTCAATTTACTGAGTAACTTTCTGTGTCTAATGTGATGCTCACTTTACTGAGAAACTTTCTGTATGTCTAATATGATGCTCACTTTGCCAAGTAACTTTCTTTGCCTAGTATGATGCTCAATTTACAGAGTAAGATTATGTGTCTAGTATGTTGCTCAATTTACTGAGTAACTTTCTGTGTCTAATGTGATGCTATTTCACTGAGTAACTTTCTGTGTCTAATGTGCTGCTCACTTTACCGAGTTTTTTTCTGTGTCTAATATGATGCTCACTTTACTGAGTAACTTTCTGTGTCTAATATGATGCTCACTTTACTGAGTAAGATTATGTGTCTAATATGATGCTCACTTTACTGAGAAACTTTCTGTATGTCTAATATGATGCTCACTTTGCCAAGTAACTTTCTTTGCCTAGTATGATGCTCAATTTACAGAGTAAGATTATGTGTCTAGTATGTTGCTCAATTTACTGAGTAACTTTCTGTGTCTAATATGCTGCTCACTTTACCGAGTTTTTTTCTGTGTCTAATATGATGCTCACTTTACTGAGTAACTTTCTGTGTCTAATGTGATGCTCACTTTACTGAGAAACTTTCTGTATGTCTAATGTGCTGCTCACTTTACAGAGTATTTTTCTGTGTCTAATATGATGCTCACTTTACTGAGTAACTTTCTGTGTCTAATATGATGCTCAATTTACTGAGTAACTTTCTGTGTCTAGTATGATGCTCACTTTACTGAGAAACTTTCTGTATGTCTAATATGATGCTCACTTTACTGAGTAAATTTCTGTGTCTAGTATGATGCTCAATTTACCCAGTAACTTTCTGTGTCTAATATAATGCTCACTTTATTGAGTAAATTTCTGTGTCTAATGTGTCGTTCACTTTACTCAGTAAGTTTATGTGGTCCTAATATGCCCCTCACCTTCCTGAGTAAATGTCTCTGAATCCATATCAAGCAACTCCTTCTACTTTTGTACAGTATTAATTTTCATTTTGATTTTCTACACTTAGGTGGCCTGTTTTTATTGGACTGAAAGATTTCCAGTTTTTTAATACAGAAGTCAACAAAAGAGCCACATACAATGACAGCATCCATTTCAAAAATCTGAACTGGAGGTATTCAGAGACTGGCAAATCTCCAACATCTGTTTATTGTCAATTGTTAATCTTTTGAGAAAGCTGTCTTGGTGTTGACTTACACATGTTCACTCAGCCGATAAACCACCACTTGTGACTTAATGGTTAGTAAACAATGCTAGTCCCTAAGGTAAACCGTTTGTACTATTTAATTAATAATCTCCCAAATACTTTGTTGTTGAGTAAGTAAAATGATTTATCAAAAAAAAAAAAAAGCTAAAGACCAAGAACATCTTGAAATCAAGAGCCATAGCCTCAACCTTTACAGAAACCTGTCATTGATGTAGGGTTAGTTAAGTTATTTACAGTAATAAAGTGAAACCTACCACCATGACCACAACGGTTACAAAAACAAGTAATAGGAACTTTCTGATATCCATCTTCAATAGGATTACAATGACCCTTAGAATCCCAAGTATTATCACCACTGTAGGGTTACAGTATAACCAGGCCTCCACCTACCAAAAATATCTATACTACAATAAACACTGGACCAAAACATAAAATGAGTAGAATAATAGAAACTATTAAAGGGGCATAATTCAGGACAGATAAATTCAAGTTAACAAATATTCTGGTAAAAAGGACTGATAAATCCAAGTAAGCAAATATTCTGGTAAAAACCACTGATAAATTCATGTCAGCTAATACTATATATAACTGTGTTTACAAAGATGCAAGATCAAATAAAGCCTATTGGAAACAAAAAAACACTTGTAATGTCATAGCAAAAAATATTTCTTCTTCAGACAAACAAGCCGATTCCAGTGGCATAAAGTGAGAGACATTACCCCCTCTTCCCCCCTCCCACCCAATTCCCCCTACCCCATTTTTGTAGGGAGTGTAATTTTAAGACATAAATTCCATTTTGCTGGAGGTAACAATTTGTACCAGTAAATCTTGGTGAGTTGTAAGATTATTGGGTCGCATCTAAACTCTTATAAAAATGGCTCGATTAAAAGATTCAGACATTGATGTTATGTATCAGTACCTACCTAAAACTGCCGTATACAATGAGTAGTATGGAGATGACAAATGTTGACAGTCTGGAGGAATCCATCAGAGTAAAGGCCCTGCAACAATAAAGGTGAATACAGGCCATGTCCAATGCAGTGGAGAACTGATCACCACAGTTGTATCAAAATAAAGTATCTTATGATACCTGTTACATTGTATAATAATCAAGAGTAGAAAATGTAAAAATAAGTTGAAATTTTCTTTCTGTGAACATTGATAAAGGGTGACAAACCCCTTGGTGCATTTCATAAAGAACTGCATACATGTAATTCTGTGCCAATGTGTACAGCAACATCTCTATAACTAGCTCTATTCAATTAATATCATTGACTTTACACGTGTTAAGTACAACAGTATTAGCTGTTGGTGTAACTGTCCTTACTATACCTACACAGACTGCTTTTTTGTTCTGATTTTATATGTCCTTGCAACAGATAAATTCTTACAAAACAACTTTGGTTCACATTTTCATTCCCCAAAATGGACTCTTGACTCTTGGATTCAAAAGGACAAGTCTTCTAACACATCAAGTGGAGCATCTAGAGAGACAGGTGTTAAGATACCTGTCATGGATAATCTATCACCTGCTGAATGGAGTAAAATTTTTACAAAGGTGATAACTTACGAGATAGTTGCTGAAGCCTCGGGACTGAGTTGCTCCTCAGCCGCCATGGCTGAGGTCAGTCAAGGTCGTTCACGATTTCCTATAGAAGGATGATTCAGGGCGAGGTCATTAACAGCTGACAACACACTTTCTTCTGTCTGTAGGGTAAAACATGTACATTAGAATTCATAACATTACAAACATCTTTCAGCAAAATTTAATTTCTTTTGTCTGAAAGGTACAACAGCATATACATTATCATCAAAGTTGTGTGTGTAGAGCTGTACAACTCTTCTTTCTACTACATCAACAAATTTTCAAATTACACATCACGTAAAATTGATAAGTGAAAGAAACATTACAGCCAAATTATTGGAGTATCTTTATTGCTATGCTGTGTGAGAACAGCAATAAGGAAGGTTGGATCTTTAATCATAAGGTAATTCAATTTCACACTATATTAAGCACTTTCAGAAAAGGAAAATTTCATTTCTTTGTACATCAAGCAGTATAAGTGCCTAGGATAGCATATCCTTAACTGTAGTGTTAGTATACTGATTCACCTAGTCTAGTGAACACAGAACATCCTTAACTGTTAGTATACTGATTCACCTAGTCTAGTGAACACAGAACATCCTTAACTGTTAGTATACTGATTCACCTAGTCTAGTGAACACATAACATCCTTAACTGTTAGTATACTGATTCACCTAGTCAGTGAACGCAGAACATCCTTAACTGTTAGTATACAGATTCACCTAGTCTAGTGAACGCAGAACATCCTTAACTCTTAGTATACTTATTCACCTAGTCAGTGAACGCAGAACATCCTTAACTGTTAGTATACAGATTCACCTAGTCTAGTGAACGCAGAACATCCTTAACTGTTAGTATACAGATTCACCTAGTCTAGTGAACGCAGAACATCCTTAACTGTTAGTATACTGATTCACCTAGTCTAGTGAACACAGAACATCCTTAACTCTTAGTATACTGATTCACCTAGTCTAGTGAACACAGAACATCCTTAACTCTTAGTATACTGATTCACCTAGTCAGTGAACGCAGAACATCCTTAACTGTTAGTATACAGATTCACCTAGTCTAGTGAACGCAGAACATCCTTAACTGTTAGTATACTGATTCACCTAGTCTAGTGAACACAGAACATCCTTAACTCTTAGTATACTGATTCACCTAGTCTAGTGAACAGAGAACATCCTTAACTGTTAGTATACTGTAGCCAGACATGTATAATGTTATAAATGAACTCCTAATCGTCACCATCAATCTCCATCAAATGTAATCCTCCTGTCTATACAAACAGTGTGAGAGACCATCAGATAGTGGCCTCAACTTGATCACCACAGGTATGTATTCTGTACTTAGTTAATTAAAAGAAATTTTGTTGAGTCATTGGGCCATCAACCTAACATCACCCAAGTGTCAATACTCCCCTCTAACAAGACATAATGTAAACATCCTACTAGGCTACATAAACAGGAAGTCCACATGGTTTTCTCTCATGAAAAAAGCTTGACTGAGCAAACTTTAAATTGTCGTACACACACCATAGTTCTATAATAGCCTGTAATGCTTTAGTCAGAGTTTTAAATACAATACTGTGTTGTAGCTGTTCTTAACTCTCTCACACATACAAAGGAATTTCAGTAACATTTTTACATATGAAATTGATATGAAATAATTGATCAAGCAACTAACTATGGGCTGCTATTATGAACCTTCTGTTTGTATTTTATTTCATTCTATGATCAACGAATTTAACGAACATGTACATTGAGAAACATGAGACTGATCTCAGATTACAAAATCCCTCAAATCTAACTAAAATGGGGTTATTTCTGTTATTACAGGAAAATGAATTTTATCTTTCCAATCATCACTTATGGTGATGACAAATTCATATGAAGACCATTTTATGAAATTTCCTTTATTAAATTGATTTCAATCATAAACATACTTTATTTTCCTTTTATGTTTCAATTGAAAAAAATCTTCAATATCGTAAATTAAGCTTCAATGACTTTCAGTTTAAAATAATAAAATGAAAAAAATAGGAACAGATTTGAATATAGCCTGGACCGTAATATCAAATCCTTGTTGTCTGTGTACTTTGTACTCGCTGTTTTTATATACATAAATGACATTTTGTAATGTAATGTATTAGGTCACTTAGAACAAACATGTAATTTTTTACTGCCAGACAAAGGACTCAAGTGTCTACATATACCTGAAACACACAAAGAAGTTACAGTAATTTTTAACATAACCTTCCCATGTTGTCAGCATTAATACTTACAAATTCTGTATGCAAAATTGTTTGTCTTACCTGTACCTGCTGTAAATATTCATAAAAAGGTAAAACACTCTCTACGATCACCACTAGCTTGTTGCATCGCAATCATAGACTGTTACCTGTCGTTAAACGAGGATCGCGCCTTTGGCATACAGATACTCAATGTTTACTACAGGTATATATTCTTCTAACGCTATTGGTGTATATATTTAGGTCCATGTGTTGTGACACAAAGAAGTTTGTGTACAAACAAGGCATCCTGGGAATTTCTCTATCTATAGATATATTCATTGTTGTAACAAGGTACACTGGTATGTGTGTGTATACAAATCCATATATACAATAGAGGTTGTTAGAATACAGGTAAGAAATTTAACCATAACAAAGGCTAACATGAACAACAAAAACATGATACATTGGATAGATCCTTCTGTTAAAAGAAACAAAGGAATCATCAAAAGTTTGATTTCTGTCATTTAATTATAATTATAAATGATTCAACTATGAACAGCTAACATGACAAGCTATAAGACGTGAAAATAAACCACAAAGTCTCAATATGAATTGAAATTGGCCGTTTTTATTAACGATGTATATATATAAATGCACATATGTAAACTCTCAATGAATGTACATCATATACCAAATTTTCTTGTTAACAATGTTATAAAAACATTAAACAAGTCTAAGATGGGGGTCAGAAAATGCCCCTAGTATCTATAGCTATCAGACCTAGACATATTCTAAGATCACAATTAATACATATGATCCTAAGGCCTAAGTATAAGTCGTAGTACAAATTAGGACTGTTTTCAGACTTACAGGAACAAATGAGGGTTACACGGGAGGGTTTGCCTGCAGCCAGTACTAATAACCAACAAACATTTTGTCTGATATGAAATACATTTCTGTATGTATAGATCCAAAATCTCATCTTATATGATGGAATAAATCCAGTTTCGGAAACAGCTAAATTAGGGAATGGTTGAGCAATGTAATGTCAGCAATACAGCAGAATCAGTGGCAATTACAGCCTCATGATCATCATTACATTGGCCATCTAGCTCTGTTGAAACAGGATGGCATCAAGCTAATGCAAAATATAGCAAATTGTTAATCCATTGGATACCTAGTAAGTACAAACTGGAGACATATTTGCATGGGGTTTGTTACTCTCTCTATGATCCCCTGATTTAGCACAGTTTTAACATGCAGGTCTACACATACATGATCTCATTGACTATATAATGCTCAATTAACTCTGTGCTCATGTTTCATTTTAATCTGCAAATTCCTACTCCCAGTTATTGACATTATTCCAGTATAGCTGATAAAGCTGGAAATATTTTGACTACCATATACACGTATAATTTAAAGTACATATTAAGAAAACTGAAATCAATATTTTCCATTATTATGAGAAATAACTACAAACCAAATCATTAACTATGGCATTCACTTTAAAAGTTAAAAATGTATTCTATATCTCACGAGTGCTTTACATGCACTATCAGGCTCTCTATGGTTTCAATTTAATGAGAGTATAGAACTAATATTTCAAAGCATGCTAGAATTTATCTATACAGAACCTACATTTATTTTATCATTCATCATTTCATTAAACATATCAAAATGTTCCAGGCAACAAGAGATACCCGAGGGATCTTGGCATCCACCATTGTTTGATCTCTGTTTTTGCTCAAAATGATAAGAAATTTGAACATTTCTTTGCAAAAATAGAAATGATAATCTTTATCTGCCAAATCCAAGATGATTGCTTGAAAGCAATTTTTTCTGATCATTCCCAAAATCAAACTGGCACAAGTAGAGACCGAACGGAACATATGAATGAAATTTGAGAGAGATCCATTCAGTATTTCTTAAGAAATAGGGATAACAATCTTTACAAGGTGAAATCCAAGATGGCTGCCTGTTAGCCATTTTATTTTTTTGATCAGTTCCAAATCAGACTGGTACAACTAGGGACCGAGGGGAACCTTCATATGAAATTTAAGAAATATCCCTCTCAAGAAATAGTGATAACAAACTTGCAAAGTCAAAATCCAAGATTGCTGCCTGTTGGCCATTATGTTTTTCAAATCAAACCCAAAATCAAACGGGTCCAACTAAGGATCAATGGGGCAATAGATGTTCTTCTCGGCACTTCCACAAAGGATGTTTTTTTAATCTTTATTTGTTCAATTCTATTTAGGAATCCCAAGGCCTGTGACAGACAACACATGTACAAATATATTTTTGTACAGCAACAGAATTTTTTGGTTTACAAAGAAAATTTTCTCTTCTGAAATAGCACTAACAATAACTTGGGTATACAACAGGACAAGGACAGCAACACACAAAGAATGTGAGACTAGACTTCTCTACATGACAATGAACCTCAACAATCCTGGCCAACAAGCTGTGGCTACATTATGTGGTCTGAATACAGCAGCATGTACCTTCTGATTTCAGTGTTAACATCAATCAGTTAAAATATCAGACCAATACATTAACTTCAGAGAGGGACTGTTGTGTTTATGTTAACTTAACTCCATTTTCTTTACTTTGTATAATAACAGCATTAAACCAGATATTATTCATACCTGTAAAGCACCTGTACATTCATGTCATAGCAGATTTCCTATAAGCACAAAAGCATCTCTTTCAGTAAACCTTATGTACAATGGGTTTCATTTATACAACCTAACATCCATTTTATCCAGTTCACCGAACTCAACAAGTCACTGCTTATAGTGATTATTCTTATTGTGTTACATGGTCATCAAAATGTTTATAGAGTAACATTGTCATCAGAATGTTTATAGAGTAACATGGTCATCA